GGTACTCTCTTCAGCTTGGTCACGGAAACCAACCAATTGTGGGGTCCCCCTAAGAAAGACACATGCCCATTTGCACTGGGGGCTAAAGACTGGGAATCCAGTTGTATCAGAAGCCCTTATTTTGATAGGACGCGCCCTATTCTGGGGATGCGATCACTTTCTGGCGAAGTCCCCATATTATTCCGCTGAATCGAGAAAGATCCGTCGACATTTGTGGCATCTCGCAGAGCTCCCAAGGTACCAAGGGACCTGCACCCGGGTTGTGCTTTCCTTCAACCACTTGGCGAGGCTGCGATGGCATCTTCGAGAAGGTCTCGAACCAGGAATTGGTAAGCTTCATGCTGCCCAGACTGAGGCGGGGGAATTCGGCGCGTCGCCGTGTCTTTCTTTGGGCAACGCCCTTTCGGTTAGAAGGGGAGCCAAGCATTCTGTCCCCCCCGCCCCCCGCTCCAAGAAAAAACACCCACACAAACCCAACAAAAAGGACAAGCAAAACTTGCAGCGAGGTTTCGGCAGAAGTTCGAAAGGGCTGTTGAGACTTTCTTTGTTTGTCTCATTCGCCCGGCGAGAATGTTCCGATGTGCCATCTCGGGGTCGAAACACAGTGCCATCTACAACGGGCATTCACTACCACACGGACACGGAACACCTTCCTGTGCGGTGTGGCTTTAGCATCACAATGGAGCTATGCATTTGGAAGAGGCCTGATTTGTTTACATTCTACCTTCCCCTCGACCCTCTCAGACGACGTCACATATTGGCTTAGGCCGCACGTGTGCTGCTTATTTTTGCATTTGCTTGGGCAATGCTGGGCAGCGTTGTTCATTAGCGTTGTTCATTTGCATGGGACAGGTCAACAAGCAAGCAAGCAAGCAAGCAAGCAAGCAAGCAAGCAAGCAAGCAAGCAAGCAAGCAAGCAAGCAAGCAAGCACGCCAGCGAGAACAACAAGCAGGCAAGCCAACAAGAGCAAGCAAGCAAGCAATTCCCTCCTTGCCGCAATACTGGCAGGGAGCAACCCCCACTCTCCAGTCATTTGGGGTCTTTTTGTTGAGGGTGCCGGGTTTTTGGTAGTTTTAAAGGGAGACCAAAGGGCAAGACATACCTGTGTCATAATTTGCGAAGAATTCCGAGGCCTGAACTTGCGGCATGTGCCGCGGAGAGTCAAACGACTTAGCCATTCTTAAGTTGGGGATCTTGACTTTCAAGATTGTGTTTCTCTTGGGTCCCGCTTTTATCAAGTGGAATCGTACATGGCCTGCCTATCGAGCGAGCCCCAAACAAAAAGGCTGAATGCAATGGGGAATCAGAGGGAATCGATTCAAAGTAGACGGTTTCTCTATTGAAAATGTCATAACTTACACGACGTCCAGGCTTGATTACAAGGTCAAGCAGGCAGTGTTTCGACATGGGCATTCTCTGACCACAGAGAAGTTCGGATATCTGATGGGTACAGCCGGCACTGGACATCTTCAGTTGAACACCCCAGTTTGTGTTGGAAGTCATTTTTGTCAAACTTGCAGGGCTTGAGGATCGCATTGACTCATGGTGGGTTCTTTGGTTTTCAGGGTCATTTTAGCCTAGCAAGAATGTTTCTCTCGAAATTGGGAGCCCTGCAAATTGCCGGCTTCCTTCTCAGTTCAAACAATACACAACCATGGTTGCGTCTACTAGGGCTACTTAGTTACTAAAATGACGGCAGCATTATGTTCCTAGCAAGCAATTTAAATCAACTTGCAATTACCCCACAAGCCAATTCCAATGTAGGTCCCAGTTCAGCAGAATGGATCCATCGACTTACGGGGAACATTCGATCGACCAATCTTGAGACACAGCGCCTTCGGTTCGATCGAGGAGCCGACGGCGCAATACCTCGGTATCTCTCTCCAGTACGCCGGGGTCTCATGGGCATACGCCCCAAGCTGATTCCCATTGTCCATTTTAGTAGCTGGTGCTACTAACTGGTTCAAATGGGCTATTTGGGTTGAACGAGGTTCTACTAGCTCGGCATACGCTTGGCTGCCACGGCAGTTTCTGCAACAAAGCACGGTCTTATTTGTCACCCCAGAGCTGGTGTGCTGGTACGAACGGGAGGCTTGGCGTTCGTAGCTTTCATTGTGTTCGTGGTGTGGCTGGCGATGGTATGCTGCAATGTTTGGTCCGTCAGCTATAAAATCTGCCTGATCAAAAGGGTGAAGCGAACCCACCGCAATGCCATGGTTTGTATCCGGCTTCCGGCTTCCGGCTTCTGGCCGGGCAGGCGGCCACCCACAAATTCGATTTACTCGAATCCACGAAGCATCCCATGGAGATGTCTTCGTTTACGTGGAGCCAGATTTTGCAGATTGACTCCTTTGCTATTTACATCTTCTGTAGACGAGCAGTTTTGCCGGGAGCGATTTTGATTTCTTGCATATTCTGAAGCCTTCCACAGTCCGTTTACTCGTTTTCGGGACTGCAAAGCTTGGATTCTGTCAGAGGCTGTTCAAGACACACCGAGACTTGCGACATCCCCCAGTTCGGATGCCTTTCGGATGGTCTTGAAACGGAACACTCCCCACATTAAACGACGATTTCGCCATGGCGTTTGGTCTAGATCCCCAAGTTTCCAGTTGAGAGTCACTTGCAACTCGTAACCCTTTGAAGTTGCCTCGGATGAGTCCCATGCGATCCGCCTACTGTCAGACTCAAATTCGGGCGGCATTGTTTTCTCACTTGAGTCACAATCAAACCTGGGTAGTTGTAGGGTAGTAAGGGGCAATCCCAGCCAATGTGGGCGGATACCCGCCTTCTTAGTTCTTTACATGGGTGGACCATCTTATTACTGGGTTTTGATTATGACTCACGTGCCCAAATTTGGCTTCCGTTTGTTTTTCGTCAAGATCGCGAAGGCTTCAACCAAGAGGGGTAAGAGAACCAAAGCCTATAAGGATGCCCTTCATGACACGTATGGTGCCTCGTCTTTTTGGAGTTGGAACCCTTTTTGGGGGTTGGTTCTTTCTTGGATAACCTTTCATTTGGGGGTTCCCTCCACAAATACATATCACACCCCTATGTTCCAAAGGAAGGTTGAGGGCTTCTTAGCTTTCCCGATCGAGTTACGCGCGCGCAAGACACAAACTTCAGGTGCTCCTCCTTCTTGGACTTCAACATTGCAAAGGACCCACGCAAGGAGAGCAGATTCGCTCGCGAGGGCGGGGGCCACTTCAATCGTGTTTGTCTTGCTGGTGCGATAGGTAGGGAATGAGGGAATGAACCGGGTCTCCTTAAAGGAAACCACCAGGAATGGTTGTGCTTGGGGTCATTCCTTTTCTGATGCCCTGCTGAGCACCAACAAGTTAAGCCAGTTACAACCTCTTTTTGGTTTGCTTAGGCGACCTGGGCTTGCAGGCAGCCACAGGCTGCGACTATGACACTGGCAACCGGTTCAGGCCCCGAAAAATGAATACACATTGGCCCGGTAAGCATTACTCGCAGCTGATTTAGAGGATCCCCTTGAAAAAGCAGGTTGTTGTTGGTCGTAATTATGCTTCATGGAACTTTGCTCATTGATGTCCATCTTGCCACAAAGCCGATCAAGCGGTTCAAGAAGCAACGTCTGTGGGACAATCCCATATTCTATGCCGAGCTCAGCGATCCGAAGGGTACAAGGATCGTTCCTTCCATTCGTAGGTCCTTCTAGTACTTGGGGTCCAATTCGGTTTTTCAGGTTTTTGGACGTATTGGTGGAACAAAGCACGTTTTTTCTTGTGGTTTGGATACGCGTCACCATGGCCATCTGGGTTTGCTACTCACGGACTTCTTAACATGGCTCCGACCGACGAGACCTGTTGAGCCAGACTCTAGACCCAGGTCCGAGTCATTGCGACAACCAAATAAAGCACCGTTTGACCTTTTGCATTCCCAACTCCGTCAAGCTGGTATTTCGAAGTCCTTTGGGCAAGTGAGACCAATCAACAAGTCTGGCCCTGTCTTTGTCAATTACCAAACTAGCTGGACCCTCAATCTACCCTTATAATTGGGTTGTTGCAACCCACCATTATGGGATGCTTCCCTTTTACAGGTAGTTTGAGAGTCCAGGTACCAAAAAAGTGGCGATCTGGGTTAAGTCTTGTTTCGACTCTTTCGAAGCGAACTCGGCGCCGCCGCTCGCCGGGGTAGCTTGAGCCCAGAACGCATGACCCGAGCTGCGGCGAAGCAAGTCCCAGTCGTTCAGTGAGTCTATACTTTTTTGTTTAGTGGGCTTCCCACCCAGAATGGTCAACCCAAAAGGGGTGTCCATCGTTTTTTCTCCCGGAAAGTGCATAAGTCTTCTGGGAGAGATTCGTTCAACTCGCTAAGCCATAGAGCACTTACATGTCAAAACTCCGCCACCCCGTGGTCTGAACAGGGCTCCTTAAAAGATCTCCATTTTGCAACCATTTGAAACATGTTGCTTTTTCAACGCCAAAATGCAGGGAAACCGCCATTTTCAAGTTGCAATGTTCAGGTGAATAATGCATCCGGATCCTGATCCTAAGGAATCCCACAGCACCACACGCGCCGCGACAAGCGGTGCTCGCTCGACGCCATGCTCTCCAGACTCTCCCGCAAACTTGTGCCCGCCGCCAGGCGGAGGGGAGAGGTGAAGCGCTTCACAGGGCGGAAGGTGGTCTTCAACCCAAATTTCTAGGGGTAACTGTCCCATTCTTTCCAGAAAACCACCAAAAACCCGGGGGAAATGGCTGGTGTTTGAAAAGAGCGATGGCTGAAAAGAATGGGGAATCAACCTTTAGAAAATGAGGATACCAAATTTTGGGGCCCCCCTACAACTCTCACATCTATGCACTTTTGGTGGGGAGAGGGTCAGGAATGCGAGACATCTCGTGATCCGTGCATGAGTTGGATTCAGCCGTGGATGTCGAGGTCTCTTCAGCCGGACACGTGGCACAGGCCACGTCCGTCGCTGGAGTTGGGGGCTCCGGGCTTCGAATGGCCGCAAGGGGTGGGGGTTCAGGAGCCGATGGATTGGGTTGCTCCGTGCTGTTATGATCAAACCACAAGAGAGGACACATTGGTGTCCCTTTGTTTTGATGATCCTTTGGTTTGATCATCCATTGGTTTAGGGAAACTTAGTTTTTACATAAGGTATCCTTTGGTTTCCCTTTACCAAAGCCCAAACTGATTGCCACGGACTCAGTGAACGTCAACGGCCTCAAGTCGTCGGCCCGACATCCCTTTCCCCGTGTATGGAAGCTAAATTTGTGACCCGAATGAAGGGGCCCCCTTATATATTATAGGAGTGTTTGGTTTTCTTTTGGGGGGGACCCCCTACCTGGGGAGGTCAATTAAAACCACCAAGAAAGGGTTCAATCAACAGCACCCACAAAGTTCACTTTTTGGGTGCCAGGGAAATGACTTGATCAGGGTGATGGCATGGTTCTCCAAGTGATCGGCGTGACACAGTAGCGGTCGGCCAAGTCATGGTCCACTTGTTGTGGCCGCACAAGTTCTGCAAAGTCGCCGCGCCGTTGATCTTTCAATTTCAGGCTTGCCTAAGCAGAAAGCATATTCTAGCTGTGCCCATTTGCCCTAAACAGGGGTTCCTTCACTTCTCTGACGCCAGCAAAACGTCTTGGATCCACCCGCAGAGTGGCGCCTTCGGGGAACTTTGGCTCAAGGCATTTACCTGGAAGGGACTTGAACTCAACGAGATCCGACGGGTGAAGTGGTTGCCGGGCGTCCATTTTGGATCAGTCACCCCGACTTAAACCCAGAGGTTTCCGGCTGGAGTCGAATCCACCACGGGGTTTAACCGGGATAAAGCAAGACACTGTGGTTACTTTTGGTGAGCTCATGGAAAGGACATCAACCTGTTCGAACCAATCATCTTGCAAGTGACCTCATTGAGAGCAACCTCCCCAACGTGTCTTGCTTTGTTTGTTTGTAATTACACTTTTTTCAATAAAACCATTGGGTTTATTAAAACCAATTGGTTTTCGTGTGACCCCTTTGATTGCCTTTGAGGACAATCCAAATTGTGCTTTTGCAAGTTGCCTTGCTTCCCCAGGGAAGACTCCTAGTCGGCAACCCTTTTTGGGGGGCGGTCGACCAATTTTGTGTTTGGACACACCCGCGTGTATACCTGTTTTGTCATGATGTTTCTCGCTCTCTAAAATTGTTGGGGCTGGCTTCCCCATGAATGCCGCACGCCCCCGTGAATCCCAGGGTTTCATGTCATCACCCCAAGATAGACAGAGATGTACTTAAGGCCATGGTTTTCACCTTTTTAAGGGTAATGAGCAACCCTGCCAATCACAGAAGGTAATTCGTCAACCACACAAAGAAACACGTACCACTCCCATCCACAAACATGAAATCCTGGAAGACGATTTGCCATTAAAAGCGGCCTGGTGGTTTCCATGGCCACGTGAACCAGGTAAACAAAAACAAAGGAAAACCCACCACGGCCAAAAATCTCACGGCAGCGCCATGGTCTTTTTCAAATCGTCTTCGATGCCGGTCGGCCCGAAGCTGAGTGAGTCACGGACCGGAGGTCTCAAAATGGTGGGCCTTTCTGGAAAGAAGCAGTTGGGGGTGTGCTGGTTGAAAACACATTTGGTTGGTAGCGGGAAAGCCAAAGGATACCACCCATTTTTGGAGGCCGACACCCTTTGGTTGGATTTAAGGAGAAAGGCGACAGAAAACCAACCTTCTTTTGGGAAGCACCCAGATCTGCGGTGGTGCACTTTGTTCTGTCTTTTGTTGGCTTCCCATTTTGTCCTTTTTGGATTTTCAGGCATAAGTCTACTCGCCAAATCCTTCACGGTAATTTGAGGAATCACAAGATCTCACACAGTTTTGTGGCTTTTCCCTTTCAAAGCAACTTCAACGCTTAACATCTCAGCGACCCGTTTTGAAGATCGTCCAAAGGCTTGGTTGTTTGTCACACTTTCGAAGCCAAATACGGTGAATCTGCTGGTTACACATGGGGGGTATGTGTGAAAATAGGGGCCCTAAAATGGACATCGGTTTTCCTGTGGGTTTCACTTTGACCCAACCCGAAAAAGTGTAGCCTCAAAACAAACATACATAGAAAACAAGTTCCTTCACTCTCAAATGATTATGGTTGCTCCGCTGGGCCGTAGGCGTCTCTTTGAAGGATTCCCAGCTTCGAACTCAGCGATGCCGCGCGCAATGTTTCGCGCAAAGGGGTTTTGGTTTTATTGACCCTGGTCCTTTTCCATCAGCTTCGCATTTGAACGGTTTTGTTGGCCGAAGCGGTCCCGCGGACATAGGTTTCATGTACTGTTTCATGTGTGATTTGTGGTCGGGGCGACTGACTAATCTATTCGGCTCAAAGTATCCAGTAAAACACGGGTTCAAATTGTTGTTTCCGTTTCCTTCGTGATAACAACATATTTTGGCCGTGGCTCAGGGGAGTTAGTTCGAGAGACTCAAGAAATGCAAAGTGTGCTCAACAAATCGTTCTCTGAGCCTATCCAAGAGAGGGCAGCGCAAGCATTTGAGGAGCAACGTCCAGACAGAGGTAGGGGGGGAACCCGCAGCCATCGCGCCGGACGCGGGAGGGCAACCTCCAGAAGCGCTAGTGGGGTGTGGGTCCAGCTGCGTTGTATTTGTTTGTTTCGAAACAAATCCTTCTTCAGCCAAGCGCTTTTGGCTGCATAAGTGCGTCCGAAGGATGGCAGGGTCCGGAGGCTCCTTTGGCAGCTTTGCGGCCTTTGAAATGATTTCACCCTCAGTGGTGCAAAGGTGGGAAAGTCTCAGCTGACCCCTGTTGAAGCCCAACCATCCCGCTTAAGGTGAAACCTCCAAACAGATTAGATTCGATACATGAAGCTCCTTACAGGAATGGCTTCCCTTTGGTGTCCCTCAGAACTAAAAAGGCTGTGGGTCGAAAACCAACGGTACCATTTTTAGGTGCACCACCCATTTTTAGAACCTATTTTAGTGGTTGGATTGGGATGTTCACTTGGGGCAAACCGCAGTTTTGACCCATGGTCAAGCTTCAATCGGGTGCCCTACGCACACGCATCTGACCGTGTCCTGCCACCTGGCTGCCGGCCAGCAAATGGAGCTGCGGCATTTGCCGAGAAAGTGCTCGGTCGAGAAGGTGCAGGACAGGAAATTGACTTTTGCCAAGTTGTGCGTGTGTGTGTGTCTATGTGCGTCAAAGGGCAAAGGCCAGTGTTTTTTTTCTTTTGCGGGGTGTCTCTATTTTGACTTCGTTGTTATTTTTATTTGGGGGAGGGGTGGGCGGGGTGTCTCTATTTTGACACAACATGGTGTGTGCGTGTGTGTGTGTGTGTTGGGTTTTGAGGGTACTTTTTTCGGTTGAGTTTAAAGGGAGACCAAGAAAAAAGGCACTTCATGTTTCTGTTCGTTCTTTTTTATTATTATTTTTTTTTTTGGGGGGGATGGTGTTCTGTTTTGACACCACAGGGTTGTGGAAAATGGGGGGGGGGTTCTGTGATACCGAGGAAACCGCCTTTCAAGTAATGAGGCAGTCAGGGGGCATGGCACACTTTGGTATCACAGAAAAGGCTATATATTTCTCACAACCATGAACCACAATCAAAAGCCGGGTAGATGAAGAGTGGCAAGGGACGTCCCAACCACAAACGGGTGCAGTCCCCAATGGAAATCCAGCTCCTGGAGACCCTTTTATACTACGCAGGATCATAACCCCAGTAGTTTGAGTAGTGACCAATCATGTTTTATGTCGCTTAGACTTCACATACCCACAAAAGGTTTCCTCACTGTTTTCCCTCGCTAATGCCCCGAACTGAACCATCCCTGAGAGCCAATGGGGATTCGCTTGGTCCCCAAAACCCCTGTTTATTCCAGGGGAACCAGCCAATGCCAACGGATTAATGTTTTTGCCCAAGGACCCCAAAGCAAGTGGCCTTCTTTTGCTTTTCGTTTTAAAATAGCCCCGAAAAGGGTACCTGGACCCTCAACCTCACAACGTTGGTCAAGACTCCTCACGTTGAGGGTCCAGGTACCCTCAAGATCAAGAACCGCCGGCAGGAGGCGCTAGACCCGAGCTGGGGCCCGGCCAAGGCGGCTTGGCCGCAAGACGGTGTAGAGAAGGCTATAGGGCATGTTTGCCATCGGATATGGCTGTGGTTGTCAAAACCGTTTTGGTACCATTTTGGGGTAGGTGTACCACCCACTTTGGAACCTACTTTAGTGGGGATTGGGATGTTCACTGGGGGCTAAATGGGATTGTGACCCATGGCCAATAATGGCTGTGACTTTTAGTGGACACAAAGCCCGTGTCCACCCCGGGGTCCCGATTTTTTTTCAAAAGCCATGCCCCAAGTTCTTGCCCTTTTGCTTCACCTTGGGCAGACCAGTGCGCCCAGCTTTGATTCCCAGATAGCCGGTGCCTTGCCTGAGAATGGATGGAAGAGGCGAAGACGGGTTTTGATGGTGACCCTGAATATGGGCCCAAGCAGTTAAACCCTTAATCACATGGTTTTCCTGGTAGTTTCCCTTTAAGCCAATGCCAAAAAGGGTACCCTGAACCAAACATGCGCACCCGCATATATTTCCCTTTTTCGTAGGAACGGAGTTTCCCAGGAACATACGGGTGTGTCTTTGTTTGAGGGTACCCCATTCTTGCTTAGTTTTACAGGGACACCAAGAGGGAACACCATTCTGGGGTCTCCTAAAATCAGGTACCCCCCTTAACCCGTCAACCCCATTCACCAACAACTCACAACTCAACCAATTCCACCCCACCCCACCAGGGTGGTTGTCAAAATGAGGGGCCCTTTTTGGTGTTCCCTTTAGAAGGTGAGGGTCCAAAGTGGGGCCATGTTTTTGCCAACTTCCCACAAGGCACCCAGACACCTGGGACCCGTTGGCCTGTGACAGGCCACGGCGCTGCTGAAAAGCTTGGCCACGCGCCGGGACCTGGTGCCGCCGCTTCTCACGGCGCTCAGACGTTCGCGGCTGCAGCTGGCGCCGCGGCGATCCAAAACACGGCGGCGGGAGGGTGGGGGGAGGGGGGAGAGGGGGGGCGGGGGAGAAGTGGCCTGGAGGTGGCTCGAAACAGGTGTCGTCGTTTTTGGGGGAGAACTTTTCTTGTTTGATTGGTTTTCAGGAGAAACCAAAAGAAAACCATGGTCGTAGGGTGGCTACCCCCACGCAGCGGCCTTTACAACATGGATCGTTTCCTTCGGTCCCTCGAACCAACCAACAGAGGTCCAGTATTTTGAGAAACCTCTGTCCAAACCTACAAACCTAACAGGAACAATCTGGGAGTTGATGTTTGTCCGTATTACTGTTCGGAGAAGTTCAATCATCCAGACGGTTTTTACATTTCCCATTGCTGGATTTGTCAACCTAGCGAAAACGCACGCCAGCTTGTGTGTGTGTGTGTGTTGTTGAATAGCCGAGCAGAGAAAGCAAATACACAGAATAGCTCGGATGTTCCAAGTGCTCAAGCAACAAACCCAGAATACCCATGAGTTTATGTCTGACTAAGAAGCCACATAAAGCCCAACTTGTCTGATGTTCCAATACCTCAACTTACACCAATGTACACTCATCAATTGTTGGCTTGTCCAACAAGTACATAAATAAACACGCAACAACACCACATCGTTGTCAATGTCTCATAGCTCAACCAATAAGCCGGAAACTTCCATGAGCATTGCGAATTGTCCTGTCCAATAATTTCACCCAACGAATCCAAGAGTGTCACTTTTCCAATAGCGAAACAGATAAGAACGAAAGTGGTAGAGCCAATTACACGAGGCAGACAAGGGTTTTGGAAGACCGCCGTTCTTTTAATGGCCCCTTGTACGTTTCCATGATTGTAGGAGAAATGGCATCAGTTCCTCTGATGCGGATTGAATGGCAGCGTTGTCAGAGCTTCGAATCCTATTTCTAGGTTAGCGTCTCAAAGTGAACACATCAGAAAACCAAATCCCCTCAAAAAGAGGCCCCACGGCAGTAAGCCAAAGGTAATGTGAAGCAAAGGCAGTTTCAAAACATCCGCCCATGAGAAGTCACACCTGCGGGTCGCACAGGAACGCAACTATGTAGTAAGTTTGCTGAAATGCACAGAACCCCCTCATGTATGGTAGAAGATAGACATGCACTTTACAAGACCTTGATCAGAATTGTTTATTCGCATTGCTCCGCCTTTCCAAGCGATGCTGAAACGACAGCATTGTTGCTGTTGTCCGCCGAGTCAAGGGGTAAAGGTGACCAGAAGCCAAGAAGTTGTGCAAGCTTCTTTGAGAAAGAAAACACCAGGCCTTCGCTCTAATGCGGATCATGTTGCATTGAATGGCGTTTGATAATATGGGTGGGTTTGCAGCTGTGTGCATGAGTGTTCGTGCTTGTGTGCATGCGACATCTGGTGTCAACAGCTTTGGCACCATGTCGGTCGTACCGTTTGTTTGTTTTTTGGGAGGAATGCAGACTGCGTGGTAGCACCCAAAAACACTTCTCCAGAGCCCACAAAGCAACAACAATGTCCATCCACTCAACAGTTTTTCTCCACCCCCGTCCAAACATGGGGTTCCCAAAGCCAACAGCCTACCATTTGGCCGGGGAGACAAAAACTGGCGAGCCCCGTGACTGCTTTGTCACTGGGCCCCAGAAAATTAAATACAGTTCTCCAGTGGAGCCCACGCAGAAACGGCAGAGTTCGGCTTCCGCTCGGTTTTTCACCAACTGAGGATGAGTTCCACTACTCCGCGGCCATGAGCAGTAGCGAGTGGGCAGCATCTCTCCACTTCATGGCCCAGTCGCAGTGGGAGAACGTCCGCCCCAACGAGTCCTGGCCAAACTTGACGCACTGTTTGCGGGTTTCACACATTTCCCTTCAATCATCTTGTTGCTTGACCCTAGGTTGCCTTCATTTTCCAAAGAAAGCAAGAAGCGACCCTGCTTGATTCTTCTTTCGGGGTTGCCTTCATTTCACGTTTTTGTGGCAAAAGAGACAACGGTTCGCGGGGCGACGCCTGAGGAGTTCATGTATTCCTCCGTGGGCGTGCCAACTTGGCCCCTGGCCGTCAACTTTCTGGAGGAAATGAAGGACCACCGCGCCACGTCTTGGATTTGGCGGATATGACCGTCCGGTTCCTTAGGTGTTTAGTTTTTAGTTTTTATTTTTTTGGGTGAGACGTTTTTGCTTTTTGGTTTTTTAGGTTTTCAGCTGAGGGTTTAGTGGTAGTTCTCAGACCCACTAAGAGTTTGTCACTTTGAGCAGGGGATCTGAGGGATACTGGAACACCACATTGTGTGATGAGAACAGGGGAAATCTAGTAATTATATAGCGCGTGGTATTGTATGCGTGGAACTGGGGACACATACCCTGGGCCAAGCATTGCAAAGCGGGCAGCTTATGAACAACAACTCACTCCAGGATGCAGGTTTCTTGTTCAGGGGATCTCGACTTTGTCGATTTGTGGATACTTATTGTGAATTGCCTGGATTTCAACTGATACTCATTGAATTCGGGCAAAATCACATGCGTTGCACCCAGTTTGCACTACCCCGCTCACGCGACGAGATGTGTGCTCCGGCGTGGTTCTTTCAAAACAAGTTCAACCATTCCCGTGGCGCTATGCAAGGATGGACGGTTCAGACAGTCACCGAACCACCTGAACAAAACTCAAAGCATTCGAACAATTCAGAAAAGCACTGGACCAACCAAAACATGTTCCGTTTATCTTGACATTCAGTTCAGTTGGCCAAGACCGCTTTTGATACTATGGTGTGCTTCCCAGTGGTCCATTTCGAGCAAGTGCTCGAAAGCTTGACCTTAAGATGCATTAGAAAGGGCTTCCCCTCTTGGCTGACTTCGAAAGAAAGCCGAAACCTTCCAAGGTGCGAGTCCGTCTGACTGGCTATGACTTTTTGTAGGGCACTCGGCCTCAAAAGTGGTGATTCAGCTTCGAATCCCCGTGAAAGACACCAACGGGCCCAACCATTTGTAACATGAGCACCCTTAGTCATACGCCTTGTTTGTATTCCTGGTGATTCCGAGCCCGTATTGATATTCTATACGTATAATGTATATATATATATGATGATATATATATATATATATTATATATACATAAATTATGATATATATGTAAAACATGTACATTTGTATATATATATACACCCTTTTTGGGTTCCATATTCTATGCGCAAATTACGTCGCCCCAAGGCGTCTCTGAGACCTCCGTGTCTTTGAGCTCGTTGGTCACCGCCTGCGGCGCCGCGTGGCCCGCCGCCCTCGCCCTCTGCGCCGATTGCGCGGCGGAGGTTCGGCGGGGCGCGCGGGCGGCGGCCATGGCGGTGGTCGAGGGCGGCGGCCAGCGGCGGCCTGAGGTTGGGGCACGGGGTGGCGGGTCTGAGGCGCCCTGTGGTGGCCTTGGTTTCCGTTCTTTTTTGGGCAGGGGGGTCTTGAGGGTACCAGTTGCCCAGTGGCGCCCTTTGTTGCCGATTTTCTTTTTTGGAGGAAGGGTTCCCCTTGAAACTCAACCAGCCTGCCCTTGTTTCCTTTTTTTATGTGGAAGGGTTCCCCTTTAAACTCAACCCACCAAAAAAGGATGCCCCTTTTTCCCCATGGCCACACTGCGCATTTGAGCCTTTTTTCTTTGAGAACTGGATTTACACATAACCCAACTGAGTTTCCTTCTGGTGTGAGGTTTCAAGGCGACATAGAAGAAACCCTGTTGGTGCGGGAGATTGCTGCGTTTGATATGTCATTGTAAGATCTACCTGTCTTCCTAGGCTGACAAGCGGGCCCAAGAGGAAACTGATTCTCCAGCTAGTTACCTTCCCCAGTGCAGCTGCAGAAGGATGGTTAGGGACGTCTCTTGCCTAAAACGCGTGCATCGCCTATAGGTGGCAGCGGGCCTTGGGGCTCTTCGCGGGCTCCGGCGAACGAGACCAGTTCTGTTGCTCGGCGGCGCTCAGCGCGTGCCAACAAGGGGCCCGGTGGCAGGATCGGTTTGGATGTGGAAGTAACTTCGGCTCAGGGTTGTGGGATCACTCGGGGTTTATCCCCTCTTCTGTGATACGAGGGAATCTCCCCCTCATGGGGGGTTAGTCTTTGGGAACCAAACTAAACTTTTGGGTGTATCACAGAAGTGGTTGGTCATTTCAACCGCAGCCCTGTTTCGGCTTGTCACTTGTGCCCAAGCCTGGACTGCCACTTCCCACCGCAAGACTTCCCACTTTCCCATGAATGGCTTGGGCATATGTGTCATGTTGTTGGCCCTGTTGCTTCAAGATCTTTGTCAAGTTGCACTGAGACTACATATACTTTGACTCCAGCCCCAAGCCCCGGATGCTGAATTCCAGCCCAAATGCGGAATCTCAGCCCCAAATCGATCCACATCCCAAGCCTCGAATGAAAAGAGGCCTCCGTTGGCGTGGCTAAGTTGACTGGAAACAGCCGCAGACCCCCCCCCCAAAGGAGGAAACCGAGGGCCGAATTGAGCCACAATCAAAACCCGGGAAAATGAAGGGTAGTAAGCGGCAGCCTCAACCATGCGTGCGGATACCTCCTGTTGATTCGTTGTGTGAGTGTTGCTACTTCCTTCACTAGGTGCCTTGGTACCTTCTGAGGATGTACAATGTACACGTGTGGGATCTTCAGGCGCAACAGGGAAGCTCGCCCTCGATACCAAGAGACCCTCGAAATTAGCACCAGGTCTTGCTTCTCAATGCGGGTAGCCCGCAGGATGCCCTTCATCTTCTCAGAGAGATGCAGAGTGCGACCATACGGCCCAACCTCATCACCTGCAACGCTGCCATGAGCCCCTTGGCGTGGATTGGAGCAGTGGATCCCAGCTACCCCTGTGGTACCCAGTTGCGCAGTGGTGCTGATTGTTCTTCTTTTTTTGGGGAAGGGTTCCCCTTGAAAGTCAACCAACAACAAAAGGATGCCCTTTTTTTCCCATGGCCACTGGGCATCTGAGAGTAGGTAACCAGCTATGTTCCTTTTGGTTTTTAAAGGGCGGTTTCCTTGATTTGCCTACCATACAGGTAAATGGATCCTCTGGGATTGTACACTCTGCAAACCAACATGGAACCCACAAAACCATGTTTTTTGAGGAATCTCCTTTTGGGCGATCTGTTACTTGTTGAGACCCCGACCTGTGGTGCCCTTTCGAGTGTTTCCGGGCGAAACTTGATTTTCCAGAAACGGGGAACGGGGGGAAGCCTTTTGCTGAACACGGGGGACCTCGCACCGAGGCACATGCTCGAAGGCTGGGCAATGGCAAGTGGTTATGGCCATGTGCGAGCACCTGATGCTCAAGCAGGTGCCTGGGTGAGCTCGGGTGCGATCAGTAGATGTGTTGATTCTATTTCACACCAAAATTAGTTTCAGATCTCAAATGGAAATCTCAAGGGAGGGTTGTTCCAGACCCCCTGTTTAACGCCCATTTCGGCCAGAACTACAGGGTCTTCACCTTTCCGGATGTAAGCATCGACTCAAAGTGCGCCATGCTAAGACAATTTTTATTTGAGGTGATGCTACCCACAACAATGCGCCCCTGCCTAAGAGAGAGCCTTGTGGGGAGTGACACTCCCCGCAGGTTGAGCCCGGTGTCTGGTGCGCCACCGCGGCCACGGCGGCGGAGATGGATTGGCAGTTTGGGCTGAGAGTCTTGGCATGGACGCTGGAGCAGGCGCTGGGAGCTGGGCGCTGGGATCCTGATTTGCTTATGCGGTTGATGCTTGCTGTTGGAAATTAGGTTGATTTCTGGTGTCGCTCGCCTTCACTTGCAAGTCAGAATGATTTGCAAGGGAAGGCAACACCAGAATCCACCATTTAAATGAGCACATGAAACGCGGAAGAGTCGTTCAAACAAAATGATAACAGGTTGTACGTTCGGAGTGCAAGGTTTTACCAAACGAAGACATGCCTTTTGCTTGGTAGTCTTCCCTGTTGCAACTTCACATAGCTCCAAGTCACCCGAACCAACTTCTTTCGTGGCGAGCCACCTCCGCGAAGCACAACTTGCCCACGCAGTATTTTCAAACCTTCAACCTGAAGTCCCCCCGACACCTGCAGGCCGCCCCAGAAGCGCTAAAGCCAGGGCGTTTCGAGATAGCGAGAGCCACCCTAGACCACCGCATATGTGGGCGACCGAAAGCGAATCTCTCAGCTTGGGAAAGCCGCTTTCGGGGTTGGGGGGTTGTGTCGAGTCGTGGGGTGGTCCTTCCGCATTTCTGGTTGATTTGGAAGGGGGGTCAAGCATTGGCCTCGTGGGACCAATCTTGCTGGTGCTCAGTCGGGCCGGCTGACAGATGGTTGGGAATGAACCAAAAGCTTCTCTTTAAGGAAATCACAAGGGGATGGTTTTTACTCCTGGTCATTCGAAAAAAACTCATTCCCTGCCTATGGAACCAGCAAGCAAATGGCACCTCCCTTGCAAACAATTTGGGTATGGGTCAAACTTATACCACCAGGAATCGGACCGCAGGTTGAAATGTCCTTGGAACCCTTTTACCAGGGCAACCCGTTTTGGGGTTACCCTATTTTTGACAACCACACCCATTTGATGTTGCCAGGGCGCTCTGCTCTCTGGGGCTCTGGCCGGGGCCGTGCTGACGAAAGTCGCGTCAAAGGAGCGGCTGCAGCTGCTGCAGCGGCGGCTCGTTGGACCAACTCCCCGTCGGCCAAACTCAAAGCCAGGGTGTTTGGTGACCTGGGGGTGGTGCATTTGACGGGGGTGGGGGGGGGGAGGGCAGGAACAGTTTTGATGATGTTCGCCTGGCCAAAATTTGCCTTCAAAGCCCCCTGGTTTTGGCATGTTGGGCCCGACCTTTGAGAAACAGATGCATGGCTTTTCCATGAAACCTACAAACCTTTTGCGGGAAGGCAGCAAAAAGCGCCTCGGCCGCTGAAACCGAGGGAGCTCAATCAGAGGCCAGTCAAACGAGATCCGCGGGCTTGCAGCTTTGTGACCTGCAGATTGGCCACCGGAGTTTGCACAATTGCTTTGGAGGGGGATGTTCTCCGTTAAACCACCAAGATCCGTAAGCATGAAGATCCATGGTGGAACTTCATTCAAATCGGGGCAACTTACGTTGCGACCTGAGGTCGTGGGGCCTGGAGTCTATTGGGGGAGGTTGGTCTCTACAAGAGAGTGCCCAGGTTTGGGATTCGATTTCATGGCTTGCATCCTTTTGGTGTCTCTCTTTTCAGGTATTCCGATTCACCCACCTGCAGTCAAAACCCGGGTCAGTGAAGGTTTGTAAGGGAAATTCCCAACCATAAACGGCTGCGGCCGCCTTTATAGTTCTTTACATGGTCATAGGTAGACCATCTTATTACCGGGTTTTGATTGTGCCACCTCTCAGCTTAGGTCCCTTGTTCAGCAGAGGTAAAGGTTTCTTGAGAGCTTTAAATCGGCAGTCTTTCGCCGAGGCTGCGGGCGCGATGGAACTTGCAGGACCTGGAACCTGAAGCGCTACAGAGTTGGGTGCCATGCTCCCATTTCGGTTTAACATCTTCACTGGTGGTGCCATCTGACTCATGTTCTCCAAAAAGCCTTTGGCCACATATGGTCCAAAGAGGCGAGAACAGGCAAGTCTGTCCAGTCTACAAAATCCTTTCAGTCGGAATCCTGAGCTGGTTGGACGCTTGAAAAAGAGACCATTTTTTGCTGTTGGCCAAACGCAAGTGGGCCCAACGCTAGATCAGGAGCCGTTGATGGTCTTTTGGGCCATTTAGATGAGGTCCAACCGCTTTGTATGCAGTCCTGTGATGTCTTGGCTTGCAACTCATCGGCTCGAGGGCGAGCAAGGCTGTTGTACATCTACCTGGGTTCAGATTCCATCCCAAGTCCTGCCAGAGTAGTTGAATTCCCTTGTTATACTGGTGTCCTGCGGATCAAAGTTTGGGGCTAGCCCGTTTGAATAACCCAGTCTATGGCGGCCTGCAAAATAATTGTTTTGTCAGAGTGGAGTTCGGGGCTTGTGCTCTGGGCTCGGGTGAATTTGAGCCATGGTTTCCTTTAAGGGGACCCCTGAGTTCATTCGCTCATTCCATATGAGCACCAGTATTCTGGCGGACCACTATTTTGCGAAACATCCAAAGCAAACATTTCGCTGCCAGACAGTCCAGGAGCAGCTGCCTTCCTTCACATCCGTTGCAGGCAGGCGAAGCTTTTGTTTACAGTGTTTGTAGTGTGCTGCTTGTTCCGTTTGCTGTGTTTGTATTGTGTTGCTTGTTCCGTTTGCTGTGTTTGAACTGTGTTGCTTGTTCCTTTTGCCGGGTTAGTATTGTGTTGCTTGTTACGTTTGCTGTGTTTGTATTGTGCTGCTTGTTACGTTTGCTGTGATTGTATTGTGTTGCTTGTTCAGTTTGCCGTGTTAGTATTGTGCTGCTTGCTCCGTTTGCTGTGTTTGTATTGTGCTGCTTGTTACGTTTTCTGTGTTTGTGCTGTGTTGCTTGTTCCGTTTGCTGTGTTTGTATTGTGCTGCTTGGTTCGTTTGCTGTGTTTGTATTGTGCTGCTTGTTACGTTTGCCGTGTTTGTATTGTGTTGCTTGTTCCGTTTGCTGTGTTTGTATTGTGCTGCTTGTTTCTTTTGCCGTGTTAGTATTGTGTTGCTTGCTCTGTTTGCTGTGTTTTTATTGTGCTGCTTGTTACGTTTTCTGTGTTTGTATTGTGTTGCTTTTTCCGTTTGCCGTGTTTGTATTGTGCTCCTTGTTCCATTTGCCGTGTTAGTATTGTGTTGTTTGTTCCGTTTGCTGTGTTTGTATTGTGTTGCTTGTTCCGTTTGCTGTGTTTGTATTGTGTTGCTTGTTTGCGTTTGCTGTGTTTGTGCGGTGCTGCTTGTTCCGTTTGCTGTGTTTGTATTGTGTTGCTTGTTCCGTTTGCCGTGTTTGTATTGTGCAGCTGGTTACGTTTGCCGTGTTAGTATTGTCTTGCTTGTTCCATGTGCCGTGGTTGTATTGTGTTGCTTGTTCCGTTTGCTGTGTTAGTATTGTGCTGCTTGGTCCATTTGCTGTGTTAGTATTGTGTTGCTTGTTCTATTTGCTGTGTAAGTATTGTGTTGCTTGTTCTGTTTGCTGTGTTTGTACTGTGCTGCTTGTTCCAGTTGCGTGTGTATTGTGTTTCTTGTTACGTTTGCCGCGTTTGTATTGTTCTGCTTGTTGCGTTTGCTGTGTGTGTGTTGTACTGTGTTAGTATTGTGTTGCTTGTTCCGTTTGATGTGTTTGTATTGTGTTGCTTGTTCCGTTTTCTGTGTGTGTGTATTGTGCTGCTTGTTCCATTTGCTGCGTTTGCATTGTGTTGCTTGATCTGTTAGCAGTTTTTTGGTATTGTACTGTGTTAGTATTGTGTTGCTTGTTCCGTTTGTTGTCTTTGTATTGTGTTGCTTGCTCCGTTTGCTGTGTTTGTATTGTGCTGCTTGTCACGTTTGCAGTGTTTGTATTTTGCTGCTTGTTATGTTTGCCGTGTTAGTATTATGTTTCTTGTTCCATTTGCCGTGTTTGTACTGTGTGGCTTGTTCCGTTTGCTGTCTTTGTATTGTGTTGCTTGTTCCATTTGTTGTGTTAGTATTGGTTGCTTGTTCCGTTTGCCGTGTTTGTATTGTGCTGCTTGTTCCATTTGCCGTGTTTGTATTGTGTTGCGTGTTCCGTTTGCCGTGTGTTTATTGTTTTGCTTGTTCCGTTCGCTGTGTTTGTATTGTGCTGCTTGTTACGTTTGCTGTGTTAGTATTGTGTGTTCTTGTTTTATTTGCCGGGTTTGTATTCCGTTGCTTGTTCCGTTACCTGTGATTGTATTGTGCTGCTTGCTGTGTTAGTATTGTGCTGGTTGGTCTATTTGCTGTGCTAGTATTTTGTTGCTTGTTCCGTTGGCTGTGTTTGCATTGTGCTGCTTGTTCTGTTTGCAGTGTTTGCATTTTGGTGCTTGTTCTGTTTGCAGTTTCTGTATTGTACTGTGTTAGTAGTGTGTTGCTTGTTCCGTTTGCTGTGTTTGTATTGTACTGCTTGGTTCGTTTGCAGTGTTTGTACTGTGCTGCTTGTTACGTTTGCCTTGTTGGTATTGTGTTGCTGGCTGCGTTTGCTGTGTTTGTATTGTGCTGCTTGTCACGTTTTCTGTGTTTGTATTGTGTTGCTTGCTGCTTTTGCCGTGTTTGTATTGTGCTGCTTGTTCCATTTGCCGTGTTTGTATTGTGTTGCTTGTTCCGTTTGCTGTGTTTGTGCGGTGCTGCTTGTTGCGTTTGCTGTGTTTGTATTGTGTTGTTGTTGCGTTTGCTGTGTTTGTGCTGTGCTGCTTGTTCAGTTTGCTGTGTTTGTATTGTGTTTTTTTTTCCATTTGCTGTGTTAGTATTGTGTTGCTTGTTCCGTTTCCTGTGTTTATCTTGTGTTGCTTGTTGCGTTTGCCGTGATTGCATTGTGCTGCTTGTTCCAGCTGCTGTGTTTGTATTGTGTTGCTTGTTACGTGTGCCGTATTTGCATTGTGTTGCTTGTTATGTTTGCTGTGTTTGTATTGTGTATTGTGCTGCTTGTTACGTTTGCTGTGTTAGTATTGTGTTGCTTGTTCGGTTTTCTGTGTTCGTATTGTGTTGCTTGCTTCGTGTGCTGTGTTTGTATTGTGCTGCTTGTTCGTTTGCTGTGTTAGTATTCTGTTTCTTCTTCCAATGGCTTTGTTTGTACTGTGTTGCTTGTTCCGTTTGCTGTGTTTGTATTGTGTTGCTCGTTCCATTTGCTGTTAGTATTGGTTGCTTGTTCCGTTCGCTGTGTTTGTATTGTGCTGCTTGTTCCATTTGCCGTGTTTGTATTGTGTTGCTTGTTCCGTTTGCTGTGTTTGTATTGTGTTGCTTGTTCCGTTTGCTGTCTTAGTATTGTGCTGCTTGTTGCGTTTGCTGTGTTAGTGATGTGTTTCTTAATCCGTTTGCCGTGTTTGTATTGTGTTGCTTGTTCCGTTTGCTGTCATTGTATTGTGCTGCTTGCTGTGTTAGTATTTTGCTGCTTGTTCTATTCGCTGTGTTAGTATTGTGTTGCTTGTTCCGTTTGCCATGTGCGTTTTGTGTCGCTTGTTCCGTTTGCTGTGTTTGTGTTGTGCTGCTTGTCCGATTTGCAGTGTTTGTGTTGTGCTGCTTGTCCCATTTGCTGTGTATATATGTGCTGTTTGTTCCGTTTGCCGTTTTTGTATTGTGTTGCTTGTTTTGTTTGCAGTGTTTGTATTGTGCTGTGCTAGTATTGTGTTTCCCGTTCCGTTTGCTGTGTTTGTATTGTGTTGCTTGTTCCGTTTGCTGTGATTGTGCTGTGTTGGTTGCTTGTTCCGTTTGCTGTGTGTGTATTGTGTTGCTTGTTCCATTTGCTGTGTTTGTGTTGTGTCGCTTGTTCCGTTTTCTGTGTTTGCATTGTGCTATTTGTTCCATTTGCAGTGTTTGTATTGTATTCCTTGTTACGTTTGCCGTGTTTTTATTGCTTTGCTTGTTCCGTTTGCTGTGTTTGTATTGTACTGTGTTAGTATTGTGTTGCTTGCTCCGTTTTCTGTGTTAGTAGTTAGTATTGTGTTGTTTGTTCTATTTGCTGTGTTAGTATTGTGTTGCTTGTTCCGATTGCTGTGTTTGTATTGTGCTGCTTGTTCCATTTGCTTTGTTTGCATTGTGTTGCTTGTTCCGTTTGCCGTGTTTGTATTGTGCTGCTTGTTGCGTTTGCTGTGTTTGTATTGAACTGTGTTAGTATTGTGTTGCTTGTTCCGTTTGATGTGTTTGTATTGTGTTGCTTGTTCCATTTGCTGTGTTTGTATTGTGCTGCTTGTTACGTTTGCTGTATCAGTATTGCGTTTCTTGTTCCATTTGCCGTGTTTGTATTGTGTTGCTTGTTCCCGTTTGCTGTGACTGTATTGTGCTGCTTGCTGTGTTAGCATTGTGCTGTTTGTTCAATTTGCAGTGTTAGTATTGTGTTGCTTGTTCCGATTGCTGTGTTTGCATTGTGCTGCTTGTTCCATTTGCCATGTGCGTTTTGTGTCGCTTGTTCCGTTTGCAGGTTTGGTATTGTACTGTGTCGGTATTGTGTTGCTTGTTCCGCTTGCTGTGTTTGAATTGTGTGTGTACTGTGCTGTGCTAGTATTGCGTTGCCTGTTCCATTTGCCGTGTTGGTATTGTGTTGCTTGTTCCGTTTGCTGTGTTTGTATTGTGTTGCTTGTTGCGTTTGCTGTTTTTGTGCTGTGCTGCTTGTTCCGTTTGCTGTGTTTGTATTGTGTTGCTTGTTCCATTTGCTGTGTTAGTATTGTGTTGCTTGTTCCGTTTGATGTGTTTGTATTGTGCTGCTTGTTCCATTCGTTTTGTTTGTCTTGTGCTGCTTGTTCCGTTTGGTATGTGTGTATTGTGTTTCTTGTGCCGCTATGGTGTTGCTTGCTCCGGCTGCTGTGTTTGTATTGTTGGTGTGTCTGTCTGTCTGTCTGTCTGTCTGTCTGTCTGTCTGTCTGTCTGTCTGTCTGTCTGTCTGTCTGTCTGTCTGTCTGTCTGTCTGTCTGTCTGTCTGTCTGTCTGTCTGTCTGTCTGTCTGTCTGTCTGTCTGTCTGTCTGTCTGTCTGTCTGTCTGTCTGTCTGTCTGTCTGTCTGTCTGTCTGTCTGTCTGTCTGTCCTGCTGTCTGTTTGTCTGTCTGTCTGTCTGTCTGTCTGTCTGTCTGTCTATCTGGCTGGCCAGCTGGCTGTCTGTCTGTCTGTCTGGCTGTCTGTCTGTCTGTCTTTCTGTCTGTCTGTCTGTCTTTCTGTCTGCCTGCCTGCCTGCTGTCTGTCTGTCTGTCCGTCTGTCTGTCTGTCTGTCTGTCTGTCTCTCTCTCTCTCTCTGTCTGCCTGTCTGTCCGTCTGCCTGTCTGTCTTTCTGTCTGTCTGTCTGTCTGTCTGCCTGTCTCTCTGTGTCTGTGTTTGTTTGTTTGTTTGTTTGTTTGTTTGTTTGTTTGTTTGCTTGTAAGTGTGTTTGTTTGGTTGTTTGTTTGTTTGTGTTTGTTTGTGCGTGTTTTTTGTTTGTTTTTGCGTTATTGTTTGCATTGCTTGTTGTGTTCCGCTTGTTTGGTCTGCTATGTCTGTTTTGTTGTGTTGTGTGTGTGGTTTGTCCTTTTGCGGTTTTGTTTGCTATGTGTGTATTGTTTGGCTGTGTTGTTCCCGCGTGTTGTTTCTCGCTGCTTTGTTCGCCGTGTTTGTTTTCATTGTTGGTTGCTATGTTTCACTTGTATGTGTTACGCTTGCTTGCTTGCTTGCTTGCTTGCTTGCTTGCTTGCTTGCTGGCTGGCTGGCTGGCTGGCTGGCTGGCTGGCTGGCTGGCTTGCTGGCTTGCTGGCTTGCTGGCTTGCTGGCTTGCTGGCTTGCTGGCTTGCTGGCTTGCTGGCTTGCTGCTTGCTGGCTTGCTGGCTTGCTGGCTTGCTGGCTTGCTGGCTTGCTGGCTTGCTGGCTTGCTTGCTTGCTTGCTTGCTTGCTTGCTTGCTTGCTTGCTTGCTTGCTTGCTTGCTTGCTTGCATTTTTGCTAGGTTTCTGTATTTCATTCGTGTTCTTAGCTTTGTTCTTCAAAGGCCGCCTTTTCCTTGGGTGCTTGTCTTCGGAACCACCCACCTGTCTAGCTGCGCAGTCATGACAGTGAGCCCCCTTCATTTCAGGCAAATAAAGGGACCCTTGAAGTTTGCACATGGGCCAACACACTCGCGTCAGACTTTCAGGCGCTGGCTGGGTGCCCCTTCTGCTACGTCCTGGCGTCTTCTTCGTGTCCAAGGCCTCGGGCCTTGCCACTGAGGCTTTGCTGCTGAGAGCTCAGCGCACCCTGGCGAAGGCCAGGGCGTTTCGAGCTTCCGCAGTTGCGCATGTTCCGGAGCCTAGAAAACGAAATGCTTGCGAACTCAAACCAACCAGGTTACAAAAGAGGAGGAGCCCGTCTCCCGGCTTCGCAAAATTACGTGCGCAGCACACTTGCAAATTCAAATGCTCATGTTGCTGCGCTTGGTAGCACGTAGAAACTGATACGTGCAGCGCGATTTGCTCCAAGCCTTGCGAGTGTTTGCAAAGGTGCAATCTTTGACATGCAAGGGTGCGGATAGAAGGCTTCCACGCAGGTAAATCAAAGCTGGCGAGCGCGCGCGCAGCCCCCAGGCGAGTTCGCGCGGCGCATGACCAGAGTTTGCGGCGCGTGGCTTGCGCGTGAGCCGCCCGAAACCATGAGCGCGCGCGACTGCCGCGGACGCCACGCGTCAGAGGTTTTAAGGGCATGGAAACCGCGTCTTGCTGACACCATACGGCCCCTGAAACGCGATCTCCAGCTTGCACACCTGAGCACCGAACGCAGCCCCAGGCAAAATTCGACCAAGAACTGCTTTGCTCAGGCTCAACTCCTGCCAGAAAGGTTTGACCATCTGATCTTGGGCTGCGAGAGCTTGCCGCGGCGGCGACGTTGCTTTCTGCCTGAGGGTCGCGCGGAAACTCCATAGCTTTCCCAGTTTCAATTGCAAGTGCTTTTGTTGCAAAGCGCGCAAGTTGCAGAGCCGCACTTTCCTCTGCGTGACCTAAGCCTCAGATGTCGGCCGCTTGCCCGACATGTGCTTTGCGCATAGGCGATTCGGATTCGCTTTGTTTGCAGAGTTTGGGCGGCGACGAAACTGCACGTGGGAGTACAGTAATCCCATTGAGTTCAGCGCGGCCTGACCACATGGTCCGCAGTGTGGACGTTGTTTGCACGGGCATGGCCCACATGTCCGAGCTAATTGAGGGATGCTTTACTTTTTGGGCATTCTGCGCAGTTTCAGAAAGAACCCTGAAAGGTGCCCTTCGCTCACTCGAAGCCCTGAAGCCCAGAAAAGGCAAGCTGGGCTTTGATGGTCCCCTCCTGATTCTTGTGGCAACAAAATGGCCATGTTGTTTGCACAGCAACCCCTATGTAAATGAGACCCACACAGGGTTCAACCTACAACCGGTATGAGTCCTAGACCTCCTGCCGAATCTAAAAGGCGGGTGTTGCATTGGCACTGGATTTCAAGAGAAGAACCTTCCCAAAAACAGGGAAAACAGCGCCCGCAGGTCCAGAGGTGTGAGGAGGCGCGGTTGTTTGCGTCTCTAAGATTTTAGTTAGCCCATTTTGCTGGGACGCGTGCCCTGCGAGTCAACTCTGGTCCAGGCAGGGGGTTTCAACGGAACCCTAACGGCATTGCAAAGACTTACCGGGTTTTTGAGGGGAAGCCTGGTGGAAGTGACGAACCCAATTGCAGGTTCGTTGCCACGAGCCACCGTTGTGTGTGTGGGAGTCCCACCTGTCAATTTACTTGTCGGTTGACCTGTTGGTTTGTTTGTCTCCCCGTCTGCCTATTCATCTACGCGCCCAACATGTGCATCAAGTTGTCTACTTACCTGTCTGCCTGTCTGCCAACGGGCTAGTGTCTAACCTAATCGCCTATCGATTTGCCCATCTATCATCTCACCAACCTAATAGATAGGTAGATAGAAAGACAGGGGGGCACATAGGCAGAAACAAAGTTGGATACAGAGTTACACAGACAGAGAGATAGCTGGATAGATAGGTCCGTAGATAGACAGGCAGATAGATAGATAGATAGATGAATAGATAACTAAATAAAGGAGTCAACTAATGAGAGGAAGAGCGACAGATAGATAGATAGCCAGATAGATAGACTCTCTATCTATCTGTCTATCTATCTGCATCTCTGTGCCTAGTATCTACTTTTCTGCCGGTCTGTTTTCCATCTAGCTATGTGGTCTTATCTATCTACCCATGTATCCATCTGTCTGCAATGCTCCTTGTTTTTTTCTACTAGCGACTCCTGCGAGTCGTGCTCCAAAGGGCCGCGCCTGACGCGGAATTCAACGTACGTCCCTCAAAAGTATTGCGCCTGTCGGCATTCCATGTTTTAAAGTACTGCGCCTGCCACGCAGTCTACAAGTAAACATCCAACGTGCTGCGCCTGTCACACGAATGCGACAAGTGCTCCGAAGCACTGCCTGCGCCCACGCCTGGCGCGACAACTGCAAGCAAGTGCGTGCTGCGCATGCCGCCAAAGTCAGCGCCCGACCCTGCAACACAGCGCGCCGCCCACAATCTGCATGGCGTGCGCCGTTTGCGCCAGCAGCCCCGTGCTAATTTGTGACACGAGCCCTAAACGTGCCAAAATTGAAAACCGGTCTGAAGCTCGCTTTTCGTTACAGGCGCAGCACTTTGATCATATTTCGTGGCATGCATTGCATTATGTGGCAGGCGCAGTACTGCCAAGCAACACACCTCAAAACAAGCGCGTCTGCGTCGCAAATCACGATGGCACGCGAGCGAGCAGCCTTCCAAGACACTTGGCCGGCGCAGCGAGGCGACACGGAATGTCGCAACAGCAACGATTTGCGCACGGGTCAACGAAATCTCAGCCTCAGCCTTCCCCAACAGCACGGCAGCTTTGTGCACGGACGCAGCGATGCATCTGGCGAACACCTGCTGACCCCCAGGCCCATTTCTATAGCTGGAACCCTTTTGCTACACATTCGGGAATACTTATTGTCCTTTGCCTGAGCATCTCAAAATCAGATTTTGGCAGATCCGCGCACCAGGTTTCAGCAGTTCCGATTCCGCGCCTCCGCTTGGTCTCGCGCCTGGACGCGCCCACCAGCGGCGTACTGCCGCTGGCGCTGGGGGATGCTGCGGCGGAGTTTCTGCAGGCCTGGGAGGGTCCCTTTGGGCGTGGCTCGTCTCTTGAGGCTCAGTACCGTTGGTTTAAAGGGAAGCAATGAGGAAGCCAATCGGAGTTCTGCAGGGCTTCTCCAGCAGTTTCTCTCATTGCCAGGCTTAGCTTGCCTTTTTGCAGGTTTGACCAGGCCCGCTTCGGTCTGGCGCTGTCAGTGCCAGACAACTGTTCAACTTTTGGAAAGGCTAAGCGAATGGCGGGCGAGAACAATGTTAACTTTCATGTTCGGATGGGGTAGCCCAAATGTGAGGACTCTTAGCACCCTTTGGGCAGAAGCGCGAAGCGTGTTTCAGGAACCTGTCCTGAGCGTGGGTTGGGGGCCCTTGTAGGGAATGGCTGGCAGGTGCTTGCCAACCTTTTCCAGGATGCGACAAACTCTGCATGTGGACATCTAACATCTCATTGTTCCAGACCTTACCGGCTTTCAGAAAGTGCCTTACACTCGCAGAGGTGTATACGCAGACACTGGATGGCGCTCTGAGGTCCATAATCACAAGAACCGAAGACAAATCTGTCCATTCGCAAGTTTTTCTTGACAGTCCGTTCACACCGGAGCGCATCGTTAAGAAGGTCCTTTGCGTGTTTCTTGTTGGTGGATGCTATCACTGTTTAAGCACATGTTCATGAATTACACCGTCCGAGTTATGGCTGAGCCGAGGCAACTCTTGTGACTTGAGGGGGCGTGGGGTGTTCGCAGCTTTGGTCTTGTGGCGCGAGTTCCAGCCAACACTGGTGCAGAGACTTGTTCATGGTTCCTGATAGAAGCTACTTGGGTTTGGGTCAAAATTAATCCACCAGGGGCCGCAGATTTCAGTACTTGTTTCCATTACCAGGGCAACCCATTTTATGTACATATTGTTGACCCACACCCACTTCTTTCGTCGCCAGAACCCGGGCCTCCATTTGCTTTGCAAGCGATACTCAACGTGTCTTCATTGCGAGTCCAGCAGAGTTGGGCAAAGCTGGCTTAAACAATCGGACCACTGGGCCCCTTAACACCCAAAAGAAGTTGCTTGAACAGTAGTGGTCTGGTCTTTCAACGTGCGTAAACAAGGGGAGCCTAGTGTCAAGTTTCAAAATGAGCAGGTCCGCGCTGCAATCAATGGGCAAAGCCCTTGGTGAGGCATTTGGGTAAAGGCCCAGGTTAATGTGTATATATATATATTATATTATATTATATGTGTATATATATATATATATGGGCAACGGACAAGACTATTGGTAGTCTGTTGTTGCGGAGGACAAGGGGCCCCACCCAAGTTTCCCACAAAATTAGAGCGCCCACCCAAATTGTCCATGTCTGCTTGGAGGTCGGTGAAGCAATCAGTCCATGTCTCTCAGGGTGACAGCATATGTGCACCGTGTCTGGATGCAATATACTTCCGTCATCCGTCAGTCAGAAAAGGAACGGCTAGCAGCAGCAGGGTGCATGACCAACAGTTGCAAGCCCCATAAGCCCAACATGTTGCACAACAAACACAAACCAACAAACACAAAAAGCGACAAACAAACAGACAAACAAACAAACAAACAATCAATCAATCAATCAATCAATCAATCAATCAATCAATCAATCAATCAAACAACAACACACAAACACAAAGAAAGAAAGAAAGAAAGAAAGAAAGAAAGAAAGACAGAAATAAAGAAAGAAAGAAAGAAAGAAAGAAAGAAAGAAACAAACAAACACACAAACAACCAATGAACCAAACCAACAGACAAACAAACAAGCAAACAGGCACAAGTGACAAGCAACCACACAAACAAACAAACAAGCAAGCAAACAAGCAAACAAGCAGACAGGCAAACAAGCAAACAAGCAATCAAGCAAACAAGCAAACAATCAAACACACAAACAAACAAGCACATAGACACACCAACAACTTCGCAGTCCATTACATGAGTTTTTGGCACAGCCACCATATTTGCAGAGCTCTCCGTTGAGATCAGTTTCGGCCAGTTCGGTTTTCGGGTGCCGGGGCCGGGGCCACACTGGGCTCCCTGAAATGGAACTGGGTGTAGCTCGGGTCAACCGCAGGTCGTTTTTGGTTCCATTTGCCATTGCCGTGTTGGTCTCCATGCTTCTGAGCCACAGCCATGTTCGAAGATTCTCAAAGTTGATCTTATGCCCGGGTGTCCCTTTTAACCACAAGGGACAGTTTGGGATGTCACTGACATTTGGAGGATCGCTTTTCAACCGCCATTTGAGGGTCATTTGGAGGATATCACTTTGGACGTTCAAGCTCGATGCAAGAACTGTGTGTGATCTATCTCCAATGTCGGCCCCCAACCCCCTGTGGAAAGTGGTTGGATCTGCCAGCTTTGGCCAAGGGAATCCCCGCAAAAGTGGTAACGTAGTGAGGGTCTTAACGCAAGGCGCAGTTTACCGGGCGCTTGGTGAAGAAGGACTACGTCTGTCTGTGCGAGGGCAGAGGTCTCGGAGAGGTGGGACACTCGCTAGAAGCAACCTTGTGGGTTCTGTTTCGGGTTTGCGTCGAAACAGGGAACCGCAAACATGTACGCGTATGTGTGAATGTGTGTGTGTGTGTTTGTTTGTGTCTGTGTGTCTGATGAATGGCCCACAAGGAACCTGAATGTTGGTGGCCATTTGGTGAAAGCCCCAGTTTGACCCTGACCCCCAGTGGTTTTATCCCTTTTGGAGAGGCTTCCTCTTCAAAAGCCAACTACCACAAAGCTGGGTGCCTGTTTTCATGGCCACTGGAGGTCGAGCAGTGTTGAAGTTCGTTGGTTGTTCCTCATCTATGCTTGCCTCAAGATGGCAACTTCATCTCAAAACCGGAACGCCACCCATATCAACCTGCAGATGTACGTTACATGACAACCATAGCACCAATCGTTATTGGGGCTCTTCTTTTAAGATACACCCAGTTTGTTGGGGCAGATTATAGGCGAGCACACCGATCAGGGGACGGGCTGCGGCTTTCAAGGCACCATTCTCATCTCAGATTCGTGGCATGAATTTGATTTTGCATGGCAGACCATATTGGCGCCCCGTTTTGGCACCCAGTATTTTTAGACTCCCCCGGCATGTCTTGCCCTTTCGGGTTCCTTCATTTCCCCTGTCAGACAGCGGCAACGGACCTTTTGAAGGGTCTGAATCCTTACAAGCGAAGTAATTATTTGATGGGCTCCAACATGGAGCTTTGAACACACACCGTCCACTACCCACCCCAGGCCTCAGAGTTCGTTAAGAGAGGGAGCCCAAAAGAGTACTGGGGGCAACCCTAGTTGACTGGAGGGAACAAGTTTGGCTTTTGGGTGCAACCCAGAACGGACAAGGAATCACGGATGGTTGAAGGAGTCAACAAATATGGCCACTTCTTTCTTACTCCCCAATATATGAATCCAACATGGACCCAGTTTCTAGCATCTACCAAAATGACGCGGAAAAGGGATCACCCTGCAGCCCTTCTTTGTGAATGACCAACTGCTTCAACTAACTGCTCGGCAATGATTTGCAACTTTCGATTGTGAAGGATGTTTGACAAGCCGTTTTTTGATACATACCCCAACATGTTTTTTGTGTTGTTCCTTGGATTTCTCCTTTGAGCCACCCAAAAACATTGGCTCCCTCAACAAACACGTTCCCAGGACTCACCCCGTTTGGTTTCAGGCGGGCTCCAGCGGCCTCATCTCCTCGCCTCTGCGCACCTTCGACCTGGGCGGCACCGCTTTTACGGAGGTGGCGCCGAGCGGAAGGGAGGCGCGCACGGCGTTCTTGGTGAAGGAGCGGCGCCCCGGCCAAACTTGTCCGAGCTTCGCAAAAGGAAACCGAGCGGGTCCATTTATCCCAGAAACGATGGTGAATTGGGTTCCGGTTCGGCAAGAGGAAACCAAGCGGGGGGTCCGCTTACCCAAAAGAGGTTCCCCAAAAACGCTGGTGGAGAGGGTTTCAGGCTATTCCTCCCCTTGAGGCCTGGAAGGAGCCGACGGCGGGCTGAAGTTTGGTATGGGTGGGTGTATGTGACTGCGTGTGTGCGTGTGTGTGTGTGTGTGTGTGTGTGTGTGTGTGTGTGTGTGTGTGTGTGTGTGTGTGTGTGTGTGTGTGTGTGTGTGTGTGTGTGCTTGTGTTCCCAAATGGGGTGGGTGTTCCTTGTGGCATCCTTCGAACACCATAAAAAAAAGAGCAACAACAGCACAAAAGCGTACCCTCGTAACACAAATACATACCCGATAATCGTATGGTGGTTGCTGCCAAGGTGAACCCTCCTATTTGTGCGAAATGGACTTGCAGCCACCTACCTCCCTGCCATGTATCGATCTATCTATCCACATTTACAGGTATATTAGCGTATTAGTGTATCTCCTGACTCACCTACCTAGTCCAACTATCTAACTACCTTTCGGCGATTGCCCGTCCATTTATCTATCTGACCCCATTATGTTTCAAACCTTCATCGTATCTATCGTCTACCTTTCTGACAGTCTGTCTATCGATTCATCTATATCTGTCTCTATTTGTGCTTGCTTCTTTCTTTCGTTCTTTCTTTCTTTCTTTCTTGCTTTCTTTCTTTCTAAATATGTCTATGGTTGTACAAGTATCTTGTATTAACCGATCTGCCTGTTTGTTTATCCATTTATCTATGCGTCTATCTTTTTAGCCAGCTAGCTGGCTGTTTCTGAGCTGCTGAAAAAAGCTCAAAATCACAAGTTTTTGAAGGTCGACCCGCCGAAAGCGCGCAGAGCCACAAGTTTTTGAAGGTCCCGCCCAAAGTCCGCACAGAGTTGCGCGAGTGATTGACGGTCCGGTCAGGGCTTCCGTTGTTCGAACAGAGCGCCGCTACTCCATACTACGGCCTCGCGCGAGTGACATCAAATGCGCGAAAGACCACCAGCTTTTGCTGGTTGACTCACCGAAAGTGCGTGAATGGTCCCTCTCACACCCGTTCCGAGACCGCAACCTCCGTTAGCGCGCAGTGCCGAATTCATGCACAGGGGCGAGTTGTTGGCCCGCTTCGATTCCCATGTCTCGCGGTGTCCAGGTTTCTCATCGCAGTTTTTTTCACACGCGCCGGTTTTCCAGTTTGGTCTCAGCTTTTTCCACGCACAGAGCGCACATGTTCGAGAACTATGGAAGGTCTGGTTAAACCTTAAGTTTCTTTGGTCATATGTGCGGATATATACGCTCGTATAGATTTGGGCAGGTGCAGGGGCGAGTATGTATATTATGAATGAGGGAACACCCGATGGTGCCCTGTGAGTTTTGCAGGTGGGCGTGGGAATTTGATTGGGCAGACACATATTGTTGGTTACTGCAATTTCATCTTATGGCCCTTAGGGATGCTCCGAGCTTTTTAAAAGATGAAGCCATGACCAGCACCCAGGGCTGGAAGGGTTCAAGGCTCCCAGGCACATTTGGTGATCAAATCGGTGCAACCCTTCTGGTTTTATGGTGGTTGCTGAAATCCTTTTAGATATTTTTTAGATATGATCTGTCCTTTTCGGTTCACAGAATAGAAGAGTTTCCCGTTACGATAAGTACACCCAATGAACAGATTCCCTGGCGGAACAATATTTAGGGGGCAGGATCCAACAAATGATTTCTTCGCGGCCAAAGGCTAATGCAGACGTGGCAGCCGGTTTCATGGGATTCGTCCTTTGAACCGTTGGCGGGTCCATGTATGTGACCATCTCACGAATCGTTGCTCTGGACTAAACAAAGAGAAACGCACCAACTAGGAACAATCGTCTGTTTGCATCAAATGGATGTTAACCGTGTGTTTACATCAATGATCTTTCCCTGATATGTTCATATATTAATGAACCATACCTCATGATGGCTTCGGGTCCGAGCTCAGGTTTCATCACGAGGATCTGGAGCTGGTCTTCTTGAGGGTTCGGCCTTTGACCGGCCGCACCCATCAGATCCGGGCGCACCTGGCGTCTTTGGGCCACCCCATCGTGCCAAGGCTCCAGGAGGGCCGTCGAAGGTTCACTTGCGATCGGGGCGAGAGATGGGCATGAGACGTGGAGCCTGACCCCGAGATAAACCAACCCTTGCTGGTGGTGTCCTTTAAGGGGACCAAAGCCTAGGTTCATTCCCTCATTCCCTATCGCACCAAGAAGAAGAAGAGGAAGAAGTGGACTTTGAGAACCATGGTCCATTCCAGGGACCTATATCCCAGACCGGGGCTGCACCTCTCCTATTTTGTTGTTTGTGGGGGGGGAGGGTGTCTCGTTCGAATGAACTATTCACAACATGAGTGTGCGATTTGATTTCCCATGGCCACTGGATGTCGCCCTGCTTTGTTTTTGTTGTCTCCAAATACGATGAGCTTGAACTGGGTGGCGTCCTTTTTGTTTCCTTTCTGCGCCCAATTGTCTGTCATGTTCCATTTCCAGCCCGAGGTTCCGATCATCCGGGCAGTTACTGTCTAGTTTCGGCGCGCTCAAGGTGGCATCCGATAATCCAGCAATGGTTTTTGGTGGGGTCAAAAGCTGAGATCTTGCAACTTGTGTCATGTCTTATGTCAATGTCCTTTCAAGGACGCCAAACTCAGGGCAATGAAGGAATCGACACTTAAAGAAACCCGCCCCATGTTGGGATGTTGAGGGGGGGGGGGTCCATATCCCAGTGAAGGTCTGTTAAAGGATTTCCTGTGGAAGATGCCATCCAATCCCTGTGCTTTTGCTTGCCAGCCACTTTTCTACCAGGCTTGGACATATTGTTTGGGCTTATTTGCGCAGGTGATGGGGGCTAACCCTTTCGCACTTCTGAGCTCGCCAAAGAGAATAATAAGGGTGGGGCTGCAAATCCTTTTCCAATTCTGAGCCCTTCCAGTTAAAAGAGTGCGCCCCAAGAACAAAAAGGCACCCCCAAAGACGCCTCCCTCCCCCTTTTTTGTGGAGGGGATTCCATCTCCTAAATTTTTCGAATGGTTGGATACCCTTCGAGCCGTTCCATCGCTGAGGTGGGGGACATGACCTACGGCCCCAGCCGCTTTCGCCTCCCGCGGCTCTTTCTGCACTGCGCCGCGCTGCGGCTCATCGACGCCTCAGGCGCTCCTGCGGCGGCCAAGGCGCCGCTGCCGGCGGAGCTGGAAACGGTGCTGGCGCGCCTGAGAGAAGCGAAGGAAAAAGAAAGGAGGCTGGTTCTTGGGTGGCTGGGTGGGTGGGTGAGTGGGTGGGTGGGTGGGTACATGAGTGAGTGGGTGGGTGGGTTGGTAAATGGATGGATGGTTTGTTAGGTGAGGGTTGAATGTGATGTGTTTCCTCCATGGCCCTTTTTTGGATCCTCAAGAGGCATATAGTTTCAATGGAAGCCAACTAGTAAATGGATCATCTCTTGAAGGGTGAAATGCAGTTGCCCATGCCTGACCGCTGGGGTTCAACTCCCAAGACGGCGCGAAAACCCAAGGGAGGCATCTTTGACCCTTTGCGCCGACAGAATCCTTTGGGAAATTTCTCACTCCAGGGGCCATGAAGGGAAGGAGGGACCGGCCGGGGCCTCTGCGATCAGAAAGCCGGTGCCCAAAGCTTCGAGTCAGATGTGATTTGCTCAGTGCGAGGCGAAGCGTCTTCGGGCTTAGGAAATGAACCGGTTTTGAGGAGAAGCCTCGAATCAGCCTTCTCCATTGTGAGCAGCTTGATTTTCAACACCAGGTTAAGCTGGCAGACCATTGGCCATTTTCTCCAAAGAAAACCGGGAAGGGCTTGTGTTGTAACCTTTCTATACATCCTACATGGTACCCAATAATGTGGCCTGGTTGGGGTCAAAATCGGAGGAAAATGAGCTGAGCCAAACGCTAAATTCACAGTTGCTCATTTGTACGAAGGGCATCTGCTAAGTGCCCAATCATTTGTGGCTTGCCCTATATGAAAACACAACGGTCTCGACCCCCTTCTCTTTTACACCCTGAGTAGTCAGGGCACACGGAGGTGACACTTGCGCCTGCAACGCAGATGTTCAAATGGGAGCTTCTCAGAATGGTGGACCCGCTATTTAAAGAGAAGCCAAATCAGGGAACCTCCATTTTGAGAAACTTCCGCACAGCCTGAACAAGTGAGATCCAAAAACTGCAGGCTTTAGTTGGCTTTGGCGCAAGTACCTGTGCAGCTGCTGTCCAAAGTCTGGCTGAGGTCTTCAATTGACAAGATGAATCAGCCTTCTGCCCGCCGGATTCCCAGCGAAGCTTTCTGTTGTGAGTCTGTTCTCACTTGTCTAAAGCCAAAAGTTAACCTTGTATTTTCAGACCCCTTGGGCAAGTCAGTTTTTGATTTGGCCCAATTGGATGGTGTGTCGCTTTTGAAGGGAGTAAAAGAGGTTTTCCGCTTTTCCTACAATCATGGAAGTGGGCTTAGGGACTTGTCAAGAGGATGGTAGCCTTCCCAAACCCATATTTGCACTTTCATGATTGTTGGACAGAGGGTAATATCTTGTCAACGCTTCTGGTTGCTGCTCATGTTGGTTCCGCTTTCTTTTTGTTGTTTTGCAGGAGGGGTGTTCCTTTAAAGTCAAGTACCAACGCAGACGGGTGTGGTTGATGAGTGGGTGTCCAAGCCGGAGCTGTTCTGCATCATCACGGCTCAGAGCGTAGAGATTGGAGTCATCGCGCTGCAGTCAGGATCGGAGTTTTTGCGGATTTTTGCGGAAAGTGTTTTTTTTGGGGGAGGGTGGTTTTCGAAGCATGGGTATGAATGGCTGTTGGGGCCCCTTTGGTGGACATCATTTGGTGGTGGTTTACAAATTCATAGCATGCAGATGAAGCTGGTTTCCTCGCGGTGTCGCAGTCATTGCGAGATTAGGATCGGGATCTGCAATGTTGTAAATTGTGCATATGAGCCACAATCAAAACCTGGGTAGATGAAGGTTAGTAAGGGACGATCCCAACCAGAAATAGCTGCGGCCGCTTCTTAATCCTGTACATGGTTCTGGGTTCACCATTTTTGTACCAGGTTTTGATTGCGACTCATATGAGTTTCCTTTGGCTTCAAAGCAAAGGGGGTCCCCCAATTTCAGGACAGGAGGAGGGAATCTGCAGATATGTTGTCGAGTCGGGCATATATGTTGCGATGTGGGGAAAGGCAAGCTACGAGTTTTGCCAGTCGAGTCCATAACCTGTGGGGTCAAAGGCTTTGTGGATTCATAGATCAGTTTGCCTGGAGCGGTTGGATCTTTGCATCATCCTTTTCTTAGGAGGCCGCATGGTTTTCGGCTTGGCTCAGATGCCTCATGGATCCCTTCCAGCTTTGGCCACCCAAGCTCCAGAAGCTTTGATTTCGCTTGGTATTTGAACGTGAGGGACAGCCCAAGGCTTCCACAATGTCAACTGCGGATTCATCCCCAGGACCATACTAGTCAGTGTTTAGCAGGGGAATAAGTCATTTCTTTGAACATGGTCCTCCGGCGCGCCTTGCTGATATGTTGAGCCAGGGCTACAGCCCAAACAAGCTCATCAAACCCTCCGCTTGGTCGCTGTGGGGGCAGCGTGAACATATTCTTGGTATATCATTTCATATTGTTGGTTTGCGGCGGCACAAAGAGCCCCCAATTTGCCTGCAAAGTTTCCAGAGCCTCGCCAATGCTCGTCTTGGGGAAATCAAGTTGTCGCGTAGCATGGTCCAAAAGCCTGCTTTCTTGGGGCACGGAGACGGTAATTGACCTTTGTCCAGACTGGGGTATGTTTGAAGAACATACTGGAGGTGGCTTCTGTTCCTCTCGCGGTGCTGAATCCATCCGTCAGAGCCCATGTTTTGCAGATGTATGATCAGAGGAGGGCCACTTGAACAGCGTCCAACAACCCATTTCACCATTGAAGCCGGCGTTCTGCTACACTTGAGGTTGACTCAGCGCACCACCCAAAGGTGAAGGCCACCCGGCTAATCACCCACTTGATGGGCGAATCTGGGCTCAGATTGCTTTGAGCATACGGCAAGGCCTACGTAAACCTGTATGCTTGGCAGAACTCGTCAATCACTTTTTGGGACTCTGCTGTGTGAAGGCGAGTGCCTATTTCTCGAGCCACGCGCCAGGATGATCAATTTCGTGCAGAAGACGTGCCCCTCCGTTGCGGGCTTAGCCAAGGGAGCAATGCCATGTATTCCTCCGAACCTAAAGACAATGAACAAACCACGGTACAAGCTCGGTACTGGGTCCTTTTTTTTTGTAAAGGGGAGCATAGATTTATCATTGTGACGATGGGGTTTTTGGAGCACTTGTAGGAGGCACTCGGGCGATTTGATGGAAGCTCATGCATAAGCCAGGATCTGGCGTGCTTGTGTGTGTGTGTGTGTGTGTTTTTGTTTGAGGGTGCGCGTATTGGGGTTGGTTTGGAGAGAACCTACATACAGGAAAATCCTATTTGGAGGGGTTCCCCTATTGTGAGACAAAGCCATATATTCTATTTGAGGCTCTCATTGCAGCAGGGATCGCCACGAAAATCGACAGAATTCGCCGACAAGTTCGCTATTTCCAGGGGAGGTGAGCTTCCGTGTTCAGTGTTTGTCCCTTACTATTAAGGGCTCACAATTAGACTCAGGTTGTGGGGAACTATTGCACCACATTTACTTCATTTGAGAATGTGTGTTGAGCCCCGTATATTCACAAATCCGAGTTTTGTCCCAGAATTCGGTGGGAACCAGTACTCCCAAAAACTCGCCCTTTAATTTCAACAACACCTTTTCCGGCCGCAAGTGACGCGAGGGTCCCTGAGTGAGATGAAACGAATCTCGTCCTCTGACCGACGACCGAAGGTGGCGCTCCTCTACGGCAAGCGACCGCTGCAGAGGATTGCAGCCAGGGCCCTGAGACCTGAATGCTGAAGGCTGAAGGCTGAGATGGCGGGCTCCGGGTGCTAGAAGCCAAGTCGAGGTCCGTGTTTTTTTGGGGTTCTTGGTTTGGTTTTTCCGGCTTCTAAAGAAAGCCAGGAAATATGTGGAGAATCCCTTTTTGATGTTTTTTTTTCTTCTTTTTTTTCTGGCTTCCAAAGAAAACCAGGAAACACGTGGAGAATCTGTATTTGTTGTTTCTTTTGGTTTCTGAAGGAAACCAGGGGATAGGGAGAATCTGATTTTGCCTAGACCCTGGTTGTTAAGAGCGGCGCCAACTTGCAATTTCAGCTGGAACAATTGAGTTGGGAAGACTTGATAGAGGTCAAGTCGCCAACTACCAATAGGCGTAGGTGGTTAGCTGTGTGGTTCTTTGTCTAGTTTTGGGTAGACGCCTTCATCGCCAGGTTCTTATTATCATTCACCTCAAAGTAACTGTGCAAGGAGACCATGGAAGCCAGTCATGGTCTGGCCTTCAGCAGATGATATACACAGCGACTTGGGTAAATCGTTACCATCAGACATTTCACTGAGTTGTGCAAAGCAAGCTGCCCGTTTCAGATGGCTTAAGAAAGGCGACACACATTGTATGTCAGACCTCAGCGCTGCATCTCTGGAGGCTGGACTCTTTTTGTCCCTTGCCAATGCTGTCCAATGGGTTTCCCTGTATTCAAAGAGAAGCTTTCTCAGAGGCATCAGACCAACACACAAGGGTGGAAGATTGAATTGGTGGTTGTTTCTTTCCCTTTAGTATTTCAAGAGATGATCAACCCACGAGGGTCGAAACATGGTTTGGTTGGCCTTTAGTACTTAGGGGCCATTGTTTCCACCCTGGCGCCGGGGACTTCAAAGCAACATCCATCCAAGCAGGGCTTTCCGATGACCAATCATCATGGGGGCTTCCTTTCGGTTCTTTGGGTGCTAACTTACTTGTTGATTCCCTCTGAAAGAAGCCGAAGGGGAATTGGACAACTTGTTGGTTTCAGCCCCTTTTCGGCCCCCCCCGGTTTGGGTTTGCCGTGAATGGCCAAACTGCAAAAGACCTTCCGATGACCCACATCCAAGGGATTGAGGTTCCTTTCGGTTCCTTTCGATCTCCCTTCAAACACCGCGCCAAGAATTTGGGTATTTGGAATCAGTTTTGTGTGGCTTTCCCCTCAAGCACAAAGGTGAGGAGTTTCTGAGAGGGAGCCAAATTACCCTGCGTAAAAGCCACAACCCGAAGAAAAGCCAGCCTTCCACCCGCAAACACCGTTTCATCCTTGCAAAACCGGGTTTTCCCTCCAATAAAAGCCAGCCTTCCTGCCTTGAAACCCAATCCAAGCTGGCTCAGCCGCCCCGTTTCTCCCTTCCCGCGCGCCCAAAAAAACACCGGAAAAAAACCTCCGCCCGCCCGCGCACCCCGCCCGCGCAACCCGCCCGCGCAACCCGCAGAGCCCGAGCGAAGTTCGAAGGTCGGCGCGCAGAAGCAGCAGCTGGAGATCCCGCTGGACGTGGTGGCGGACATCCCCACGAAGGTGGACTCCAGCGCCGGGGGCGCCCAGCGGCATGCGAATGCGCCCGAGCGGGCGAATGCGAGCGAATCAGTTGTTTGTTTGCTTGTTTCCCAAGACCTGAATGTTTTCCGAAGGGAAACGCAGGGGTATGAGTTTAAAGGGGTCCAAAAGGAGCCTCCGCAGAGATGGGGGTGAGTGGTCCACCAACCACTTTTCAGGTTCGAAAGGAAACCGAGATACTTATTGTGGTGGTTTTCTAGATCCTCTATTGGCACCCAACCCAAAAGCAAGGCAAAACAGACACAAATACCTGGAGAGCAAGAGTTGGTTGTGTATATTTTTGAAAAATCATTCTTGAAGCTTGTTGAAAGGGACAACAAGAGGTCAAGCCACCAGGCTATAGATTGTCTTATTTGATGTGAGATTAAACCCCGTGTGCCATTCTCAAAGCGGACTTCGCATGTCACGTTTTGCGCTAGGTTCATACGATAATACAAGAAATGGTAGTGTCGTTTGTGTTCCTTTCGTTGGAAGAGTGAAAGGGTCGACCTGGAGGTTTTTCAAGGGAGACTTAATGTGACTTAATGCATGTTGAATTGACCAGCTTTGTATTCGGTGCTTTCATCCAACCAGTCAGAGTGACCGATCCGCAACAAAATTGGGTTGTCTCTTTGGCCGAAAGCTAGCCAACAGCTTGCCAGTGCAGAGATCACTTGACCAGCCCAAACACTTTCTGGTGCTGGGTAGGGAATGAAGGAATGACACCTGTGAACCATCCCTTGTGTCTTCCTTTTCGGCGATCCCCAGGTTCATTACCCTTGAAAGTCCCTACTCAGAACCTGCAAGATAAAGGATAGCCTGCACAGGTAGACAGGTGCTCTGGCGAGTGTTTTTGGTCGTCCAACAGACACCCATCTGGCCACCAGTATAAAATTCAAACTGAGTTGGAACAGCCAATTGTGTCAACTCCAGGGTTTGGCCATTTCGAGGCTTACCAACCTTTCACCTGAATAAGATATTAAGAGGGTCCACAATCCACAAAAGCACTGAGGCCATTCTTGTCAAGCGTTTGGAGTTAATTCAACAATGGCCGCCATGCTCATCCTGCATGTTGCTCCCATTTGAGCTCTGACAATATTGTTGGTAGCTATTGTTGGTTGCGGCATGGAGGGAGAACCCAAAGTTCCCCACACATTCAGGGGGGCAACCCAAATGTTCCAAGTTCCCTCGGAACAGACCTTAGTTATCCGCTCTTGAAATTGACTTGCAATGTTTCGGATTGCCATGTTCCCAGCTGTCAGGTTGCTTACGTGGGCAACAAGTACAACGCCTTGCCCTGGAAGGACGCCGATCGCTTCGCCAAGCCGGTTGCTTTCATGACCGAGCAAGTAGATGCCACAATTGCCTTGATGGCGAAGTAAAGGGGATGACTAAACCAAAGTTGCGAAATTGTGGCGTCCACTGTCAACCAACTGGACTTGCTTCTTAGATGCTTTTCACTACGCCTCAAACCACTATTTCCCAGGGGTTCATTGGATTATATGGCAAGCATATATACAACATATGAAGACTATATATGTGTATATCCACATTTTTCCCCGGGGTGAGTGGTTGGGAATAGCGGAAACCATTGTGGATTGCTGATTTTGCAATGGCCGTCTTCTACGAGGAGCTCACCTAGATTCTATACACTGATTGCAGAGTTCATTTCATCCATATCGATCTCAAGAAAGAAGGCTGTCACTTGGTTTTGTTGCTGCTTTCTTTTTTTTGGTGTGTGTGTGTTTGTCGTTGTTCATGTAGTAAGTGCCTTGTTTGTCGTTTGGACTGTTATTGCTATGGTGTGTGTGTGCGCTTTCGGTGTGTTGTGTACCGTATGTTCGCCTATAGAATGTCGGTTTATGTATTGTTGATAGTTGGTGAATGTGCTATGCTGTCGTTTGCTTGTTTGTTTTTAGATGTGCTGATCTGCGTAGTTCTTTTGTTGCTTTCGCCCTTCGTGTGTTGGTTCTTTCATTTTATTGTGATGTCGTTAATTGTAGGTGTCTTTATGTGTGTGTTCCTTCCTATTCTGTTATTTCTGTATTTTCTTCGTTTGTTCCTTCGATCTTGAGATGTGTCCTTCCATGTTTGTCTTATGCTTTGTCCGCGTGTCTTGATTGTCTGGTGTGTGTGATAGTGATATTCTAATGAAATGTGTCCGCGGGGTTTGACCAAAGGCACCAACATAATGGTCAACTGATTCAGCAATTCGAGTTGTGTTTATTGTTGTTGTGTTTCCGCATGGTATCCTTTATTTACTCATGTTTGATGTGTTTAGTTCTTTGTTTATGCGTTGTCCATGTTGTTTCTTCATGCTGTTTGTTGTTGTTAACAAGCATGTTTGTGTACTTGCTTGCTTGCTTGCTTGCTTGCTGGCTTGCTTCTTTGCTGGTTTGCTTCTTTGCTGGTTTGCTTCTTTGCTGGTTTGCTTCATTGCTGGTTTTGCTGTTTGCTTGTGTTTTCCCCACACAACCTTGGGACGTGTTCTTTCAGGCACCTATCAGAGCGCTGGATGTGACCGCCTGGCTATGATATGCTCGAAGGTTATGCAAGTCTTTCAGAAATCATTACTGGTTTTACCTGCATGTTCTCTACTGTTATTGGGTTGGATCTTTAGACTTTAACTTGTTGGATACCCCTCATGTTTCCTTTTAACCTGCAACAAATTAAACTTTTTGCTGGGAGATCTACAGCAAGTGTCGGAGACCGTACGAACTTGATGCCGAAGCAGCGCTGCCAAGCGTTGGGTGGTTCCCCCCCATAATCCACCCGCTTTGTGGATGGTTTTTTTCCTCCGGGTCCCGCTTGCAAATGTCAACAAAGGATTTTGCTTTTGCCAAAGGGGAAACGCAAGTCTCGTTAGCTTGAAACACACACACATACGCACACACATAGGCACACACAGCGCACGCAAATCACCCACCAACATAAGACGATCTTTTAGGATACACATTGGCTACGATTTTGAAGGGGAGACACCATCAAGCAAATGTTGGACATAATCCCAATTATGCAAACCATGTCCACTCGGATTCCCATTTCTTAAATCTCCCCATGGACCTGACTCAAACCTCTCAGTTTTGGAGCAAAAGCCGAGGTGCCCCCCAAAACCCCCCATTTCTGGGTTCTCCAAGCATATTGTACATGAGGTAGACAAAATGTGCACGGATGCTCAGTTGCCCAAAGCCCACGTTTAGACCTTTTGGTGTCCTGTTTGGTCCATATTTGGCAAAGGTCAGAAAACGCTAACCTTTGTTTCCAGGTCCTTTGGGCAAGTCTTGCCCAAAGGACCTTCAAATCAAAGGTTAACCTTTTGTGACCTTCGCTAAAAAAAGGAACCCAAAAGGCTGGCTGTGGGCAACTAAGTGAGGATGCAAAGCGTGATGTACACAAACATCTGACCCATTTGCTTGATTCCCAACACCTGGTCTCGGTCATTCCCTACTTATCGCACCAGCAAGAAAAGGTTCACCGTGGTTCACCTTTTGTTCCCAGGTCCTTTAGGCAAAGTGGGCCAAGATCTTCCATGTGTTTCCAGGTCCCGTGGAGGTAAATAAATATTTGGCATACCTGGAGCGGTTTTTTTTGGCGAGGGCCAATAATTTTCGGACTGTGCTTCCAGATCCTGTGGAGTTGGGCAAATAGTTGGCTTCCAAATCTGAGTCCAGGTCTTTGGACTTGGCGCAGTTTTTTTTCGGGGGAGATGCGGGCGATGGCCGAGTTTTGCTCTCCAGGACTTTGTGGACATCAAGCTGGACGCTCGGAACTTGATCGAGGCGGACGTGAAGAGCGCGCTCACGGACCTGGACTGGTTCGGCAAGGCAGGGGCGCCCCGTTTCTTTTTTTGTTTTTGGTTTCTTTATTTGTTTGTAATGCGGCCGCAGTTTAATAGCAGACTGGGGGGATTTCATCCGATCAGGGTGTTTCTCAGAATGGGTGCCTTCTTTTTTGTGCTGGACCCACTAAAATTGCGGATTTGTTTCCTTTGGCTGCCCTTTGAAGCCACTAACAAAGGGGGGTGTTTCTCTAAAAAGCGGAGCCAACGCATTGGTATGGTTTTGGAGGGACAAAAGGAAACCGACCTGGAGGGATCAACTTTTTACTTTGTGAACACCCATTTTTGTTTGTCGTGTTAATCTTTTTGTTGTTGTTGGTTTTTTGGGGGGGGTGTTCGGGTTTGAGTGGTTATGGGGGGGTTTTGGGGCTGGTCTTGCGGGCTTGGGGCCGAGGCGAAACCTTGAAACCATGTAATTAGCGCGAGCTCATTGTTCCGGGGGCAAAGCGAGCACGCATTTTGAATCATTTGGAAGGTCCCTTACTTGGGGATTCCTTGTTTGCAGCTTGGGAAGTATAGCAATTCACACAGAACTGTGTTTGAAGCGATGTCTTTTCATTTCATTATAGGTGCGCTGAATAGGCAGAATCCAGCGTGGCTCCTTTGGTTACATAAGGTAGTTTACCTTTCCAGACCTCCAGTGAGAGTGGTATGATCAGCAGGCTGAGATGCCGTTTCCTTCTCGATTTCAGCACCCATTCTCGTTGGCAGGTCGGCCGGCCACTACTTGGCTATCAATTTAGCAAGGCATTCACTCCAAAGCTCTTGGCTGTGTTTTTGGCATCGTTTTCGCCTGTGATACCGGCATCCAACTTTGGGGGTTCCGGACGCAGAGGAATCCGTGAATTCGGGTTCCACAGCTTTACCCAGAGCGACGCCCGCGAACCCCCAGTTAAAAGTTCAGGAACTCTCGCGCCGACTATCTTGTGAAGCTCAGCCCAGTTCACCATCGACTTGTCGATGGTCCATTTGGGAGAAACTGCAAAAAGACCACGGAGGTATGAGCTCGAAATCCAAAAACCTTCCTTGTCCTGCATCAGCGAATGTAATTTTCGGCGCGTCTCACGCTAGTCTTGCGTTCGGTTCTCAGAATCCGCAGTGAGCTCAATGGAAGCCGTGAATCTCGCAGGCCTCGGACCTGAGGGACCCTTCTGGACCTCAGGGGACTTGGACCCCCGGAACACCTCTTGAAGATGTAGGGGTAAGCAAGCCTTGCCCCCCAAAGAACGCCAACACCAAAGAAGGCCAAACAAGAAAGGCCAAGGGCCAAAGACCACCACAGAAAGCCAACTAAGGCCTTATGCCACACATGCGTGAAGCCCCCTAAAAGAAATGCCAAAGCCCAAAGACCCTGGTCTTTGGTCCAGGTGAACGCCCTGTACTGCGGCAAGGCCGCGGAGACGGAGATGGATGTGGCAGCCTGGGACCGAGGAATGTGAGACGCTCACTCGAGTTGCTTCGACCCGGAAACTGCGCGTAAAAAAACGGGGGGAATCACCCCATGGCTTGGGAGCGCGTGGTTGAAGGGTAGCTTGAGGGCCCAATGAGAGATAGCTACCCTAACGAGAAACACCAGCATAATTTTTGCAATCTGAGTGAGGGATTCTGGTTTGAACGAGTTTCCTGTAAAAGGGGCCATTTCTCTGGTGGGTTCCATGGTTTCCACGGCAACGCTAGATTGTTGGGCTGTTGAGCTGTTGGGCTTTTGGGCTGTTGAGCTGCTGGGCTGTTGTGTTGCGGGGCTATTGGGTTGTTGGGTAAGCTCGATGTGAGTCTCTGGCAAACCCCCGAGGTGAAGACGCTGGGGTCCATGAAGCCGGCGCCGTGGCGGAAGCATGCCATAACCGCATTTTAGCTGTCGATGGTTGGGGGCAGTAAACCCAGAGCAACTTTCAGTTAACAGGTATTTGGTATTTTCAACTTGCCGCATTGTTTGTTCTGCGGAAAACTGAATGTACCTGTTTGGGTTCCCCTTAGCACTGAGCAAACCCCAAAACACAAGAGGCTAGCGTGTACTTGTTTTTCTTCTTTTTTTAACTGTTGCTGAATTGGGAAACGGTTGGTGATTGGATGCCACCAAACAATTGGGAAAGGGCCCCACTTTGCATGACATGTGTGGAGTCTCGGTCCTTAGCCAGAGTTTGGGGGAGTCTCTTTCAAGTGTGCGCAGGTTTGCCACTGTTGCAGGGTCATTGCACAATTCTCCCGGGTTGTGTGTGTGTGTGTGCGTCACGTATTTTTTGTTTTTTGCATTGCATGGTGTTTCTGAGCAAATACATTGCCCTCTCTTTCAGAGACTGCTTTCCGCCAAAAGGCAAAACCCAGGCCACAACTTCCAGCGGCAAACGCTCACACCTCTTTCCCCGGAGTGAACGGTTCAACTGTGAATTGGCCGATTGGCCAAGTCACTCTGTCCCGAGACCTCCAGTGGTGTTCACTTCAGTGGAAGGGGTTCCCTTCACAATCCCGCACAAAAGGCGTGCCATGTGGCCATGGGGTTTCTGTGCGGCTAAGGTGAAGTACCCCATCGCCAAGAAGTGAGCGGAGATGTTTCGGCCGCGCGGGCGTTCGATGGTTTATGAGTTCGATGGTTGAGTCATCCAGTCATATAGAGCCTTCTCACTTGCTTGGTGGACTTCGGCTCTTCGAGCCCGCAATTTCTTTCGGATTTATGGCGTACGATTTGGAATCTCCATCTCTGTTTTGATATATTGAGGCTATGGAGAAGAGTTCCCCAAATGTATGCAACCAAAATGGGAAGATGATTATTGGAAGGGCGGAGATTTCAGAAGGGCTGGTCTTAGCGACCTCTCCTTGATTTGGCGAAGGTTTTGTGAAGCGGCAAAAAGCGCGGCTCCTTGCAGACACATCCACTGCCAAACCGGCGATCATCCAATTTGTCACAACCAACATGCTGAGATGGCGATTTTGAACGGTGTCTTGGTCATAGTCGCGCAAACAAACATGTTCTGGCCACTCTACTTCAGTCAGTTGAGGGACCAAGAGGAACCACCATCTTGATGTCCTCAACTTGGCCCCCCCCCTTTTCGGGGCCCTCGACGAACCCGACGTTGCTTTTTGACAGGTGTGACACAGGGCGTGGGCACATGCTAACATGGGGCTGGCGCAACGGCAATTTTGTCTGAAAAAGAGATACCCGTATCTCACAAGACAGAATCTTCCTTTTGCTTAAGAGTATTGTTTGTTTTCCCCAATTGATACACGGACGTTTTTTGTTTTTACTAGTGGACATATTTATACATTCTTTTCCGGGGGGGCTGAAGCAACTGGAGGTAACAGGATCTCTGCGAAGGTGCTCTTTGATCCCGAGTTGAGCGGAGGGTGCCAGCGTCGTCCGGTTCCTTAGTTGTTTTTTTGATTTGTTTCGTTGGTTTCTTGGTGTCCATTTAACCCACTAAAGGTCAAACTTGTAGGGATCTGAGGACAGCCCAGATCATGTTAGAATACTAGATCCAATCAAAACAAACCTAAACCTTCAAGGTCAGGTTGGTGGAACCCCTATGTCCACCTATGTCACGGAAGTGCGCGCCTGTGGATCTTCCCCCCCCCATTTGGGTATTTCAAAGTCAATCCTGAATCCTCATGCCAGATGATAGTGGCTTCTGGTGCATCACTACAGATTACCGATGAGCCCTAGTATCTCGCCTATTCTGAACAACCCGGCTTGCAATCTGTGCTTTCTGTTGCACCAAGGCTGAGCTATGAGACGCCTCCTCAGGAAAAAAAAGTGCGACTTGCCCTTGGGGCAAAGGGACTTCAACTGCAGCCGGTGTGTGACAAGGCGTTGGACGTCTTATGATTTTCCAGCGAGGTGTGTGAAGCCCCTTCCTCCCAAAAGACCCAAAAGGAGCTCGTAGTTTTGGCGCCTATCTTTGCAACTTGTCGCAATGATCCACGGCCTTGGGTTATCAAAGTCCGGCCAGCATGAGATCAAGGTCTCAGAAGGACGATGCATTGACTTCCAAAACCTCCGATGCATGAAGCCCGATCTGCAGTCTTGTTTAACCACCAATCCCAATTGTTGTTATTATATTAGTACTATTAGTATTGTTATTTTTTGTCTTTTCACAGAAACACCAAAAGCAATCCCCCAAAGTTAGGCAACTCGCCCTGGGCACTTGCCAGGGCTCCTTCCCCACATGAGACTGGGTGATGTTTGCAGAGCCGCTGGTTTCCTGGACTCGGGCTTTTTGCTGCACCAGATCAGACCCTTTTTGAACCCAAGGCGTTGTTTCAGTTCCGCAGACTTGCTGCAGAAAATCCGCCACCAGGAAGGGTACCCCAATCCAGAGGCTTGGGACCTGCGAGCAAGCCGCAGGCCTGAAATCGCAAGGACCACGCCGGGCAACCCAGTGACTGCGTGTCCGTGCCAATCCAGGCTCTTCCATTAGCATTTTTTGGCGGCACAGAAGCCAAGCAAGTTGCAAAATGCAAAGGCAGAGGCAACAGCCACAGAGAAAACGCAAAAGCAGAAAACAGGTGCCGACCGCCGACAGTCAACCCTCTTGGAGGGTTCCCAAATCGGATTGGCGGATTGGGGAACAAACTACAGGCCCTTGGACCAGCCGTGTCGAAACCACTGACCGGTCCCGTATGACAGTCCTCGTGCTTGCAAGCGGAATTCCGTCTTGCCTCACAGCCTTTTTGTTTTAGGGAGAAGCATGTTGCGGCAGATCATTTGGACACCCCTTGCAGACATCCAAGAAATCCCACCTTAAAGCAGGCTCCGACTGACGCGTGTTTCACCTGCCCACATGTCTCCTGCTATCAAGAGATGGGTGCTGACTAGCCCATGATTCATGGTTCCCAAAGAGAAGCAGAAAGGGAATGAGACACTTTTCGTCCATGCTTGCAGCCCATTGCGTGTTTTCCCAACTGTTGTACTGAATGTTTGTTCACCGGCATACCGGGACGAGGTTCCTAGACAGCTTGTGCACTGCGCGCAAGCAAGCCACAAAGTCATGTACAAGAGTTCTGCTTGGGCAAGCACGAAGGAGGTCCTACTATCCTTTCCTCCTTACTTGTATGTCAGAGAGAGACATTTGCTTAGTTTCATCATGTGTCGGGTTTAACCTCTTCTTGTCATAGTGGTTGTGGGGTCCAGGGTACCTGCACTGCATCTGTGGCCGTTGGCTCAATAGCCGTCACTTTTGCACTGAGCTTTGGTGAGGTTCTCCCGGGGCTGGACGGTTGCCAGTTGCCTGGAGGGCGTACTTGTGCAACGTGTTGTCAGATGGTTTCTAGGTCCCCCAGTAGTGGCCTTTTACCCCTTTGTTTGGGGAGGGTTTCCCTACTAAAGTAGACTACACAAAAAGGGTACCCTTGTTCTAACCTCTCTACTGGAGGACCTAGGCTTAGTTGCTTCCATCATCCAACGTGTGTTCACATCGCATGTGTTCGCTCCACCTGGAGCTTGACAGAGCTCCAAACTTGGGTACCCTCGTGTATGCTGGAATTTGGTCTTGAGACACCCACGTGCACACCAGTCAGTTGCAGCGCGTATGAACCAAAGTAAGACGGCGAACAACTCGCAGCCAAGCAGAGGCAGAAGTTACTTTCAACGAAAACAAAAGGCAATGCTGACCCTCCTTCGCATGGTCTCCTGGATTCGTTAGTAGAGAGAACCGGAGGTTGCTATACGTAAACCTGGTAGTCCCGACAGGCAATTGGCACGGAGGAACACTGAGATCGATGGCGCAGCAATGGAGCCTGCTTTGAGTATCGACCTGCCGGTTCTGGCAAGTGCCTTGTCACATTGGAACAAGCTAAACTGGGTGCGAAGTCTGAACAGTCCCTTCCCAAAGCGCTAAAGGATACCGCAAGGCTATGGAGGCATCATAGGACCAGCTTGCTGGCTTCAGCGGCTGGCAGCCCCCTCGTCTTTATTTAGGCGGTGCACATCAAGCGTGGTGGGCTGCCAAATGCTCGGCGTCATGTTGGGTTCATGTTAGCTCTCTATCTCTATGCATGGAACGTGAAACGCCGGTTCTTGCTCACAGCACCATTGAATTGGAGCTTGGAATTTCTTATGCTTAGGTCATGAGTTTCACTGTTTCTGGAGGTTATCAGAATCAGTAACTGGAGTTGGTTCCATTTGACCTACCACTTTGGGGGTGACTTTGGTGATGGTGAAATAACGAGGCGCGAATGCAGTGCCCTCATTCATGAAAGGAGGGCAGTAGAAATGAGGAGTCTGTGCGACTTCTGTGATATCGGGGAACCTCTGGAAGAGACAACGTAGTCCTTGGGAAGGCCTTCTAGTGGGAACAAAAGCGAGCAATTCCTACCCTGCATGACAGCTGCTAACGACTTGATCCTGTGAAGGGACATGGGCCAAATCCAAGTTTCTTTGAGATGTTTGGGGAAACCCTGTGAAGACCCAATGGGTATGTGTTTTTAGGGTAACCCTTTTTTCTTTGTTTTCTTTTTTAACGGGAACCCAAAGGCCGCCATTTTGGGTGGCCCCCCAAATTGGACACACCCAAACTTCAATCTGTTCCAAAGTTGAACGATTTGGCAGGTATGCAGAGGAGACTAGCATAGCTTGAAATTAGCTGCCCATACCGATGCTCATTTGGTTCCAGATTGAACGGCGGCTACTTGCCACGTCTTGGATTGCTACTGTTTGGAGACAAATTTGTTTGGTTGCTTGTTTGCGGCAATTGCCATGTTTAAAAGTCTTGATCAAGCAGCTTTTGGCTGGGACTCAGGGCCTGTTCAAGAGTCATTGGCAAGGCTTAGCTGCCCAAGCCGCATAGATTCTTGGCAGGTGTGGTGTCATACCTACCACTCGAGGACTCAGAGCGCGGAGGGTGCGGGGATGCAGAAATTACCTTTCACCCGGGTGTTTTTTTTTTTTTGCGAACGAGGGGTGACAAGGCAAACTTTGGGAGAATCCAGCGCCCTGGATGGGAACCCTGTGAGAACTCTGTGTGCTCCGCCTTTGTGTTGTACGACTTTGTCCAGAGACATAGCTGCAAAAGGAGCCCAGTTGGCCAGTGGTGCCCTTGTTTCCTTTTTGGGGGGAAGGGCTGCCCTTTAAAGTTAACCAACCAAAAAGGATGTCGATCTTTTGTTTGCCATGGCCACTGGGCATCTGAGGGCTGGATCTTGTCGTATTTACAAGCCGCGCACCCGTAGAGGAGACGTCCCCTTGCATCGACTAGAGAGTCCCATCAACTCAGGGGGCAGATCTGCAACGGGCACCCTGGATTCATCAACCCGGCTCCAGAGCGAAGACTTCCCTGTACTCAGTTGTTCAGTGGCACCCTGTTTCCCCTTGTTTTTTGCGGCTGCCCCATTAATCACGGTCTCGCTTCCCCAAAAAGGGTTCCCTCCTTTTTCCAGGGTCACTGAACAACTGAGTGTAAGATGGGACTCCCCTTTCATCCACCAGCTTGTGTGTGTGCCTCTTGAGGGTATCCCATTTTTAGGGTCCCCTACAAAAGACATACCCGTTCTGCCGGTTCGCAGGCAGCACCGGCAAGAAGGAAACGGAAGCCTCGTTGGGCAGATGCTTTCCACTGACTAGCCGGCTGAAAGGGCTTCTGATGTCTGGCTTAATATCGGTAGTCTGAATTATGTCAAGTTTCCCCGGCGTAAACACGATCCCCCCACTGTTTGGGTACGTCAAGTTCAGACCCCCAAGAATCCCGGTACAAGAATCTGAGCAACGTGCGCAATATGGGCAACTGATTTCTCCTCTCAGCTTCCTGGCTCAGTCCCAGCAGGGAAAATGCAAATCTGTGTTTGCTCAGCCTAAAACGCTGTGAGCCTCAGCTTTGTGGCCTTAAACTTGCTGAGAAGATTAGCCAGGTCTTCAGGTCCTGTAGGCTGAGCGTCATTGTGTAAAAATGCAACACAAGCTGAGCGCTGTCCTGCTGCTGGGATCTTTTTCTGAAGCTTTCCCTCAGTGTTGACATAGTACCGGAGTGCCTTCCAAGGATCACAGCCGTGGCAACCTGACTGCCACCTGCACTTGCTGCAAGCACAGCTGCTGTGCTCGAAGACGACAATCAATCTTCAAAGCAGCCTGATCTGAGATGTCATCCCAAGTGAGCGTGAGGCTGTTTTTCTTGATCGCAGCCTCAACAGCCTCAGCTATTGCTGAGGACTTGTGTTTGGTTTCTTCAAGTTTCTCCCCAGCTGCTGTTCTAATTTTCTCAGCCTTCTCTAGATGAGCCTTGAATTTCTTTTTGTGCTGCTTGAGCTCAGCTTCTCTGCTTTTCCTCTCCATGCCCGCATTCGCCCCTTTCCGTTCTCCCCACTCAAAAGGCTTGGTGTTAGGCCTGGAACTCAGTGGCCTCACATGCTCCCCGGGCAATGCTGCGGGCGCCATTCCAAAAAATCACCTCTTGCCAGCCTGATCTGCCTGAGTTTTGACCTTGCTTTAGCCAGTTTCTTTTTGGCTGCAGGTTTGAGCTCCAACGAGATCTTGCTGGAGGCTGAGGGCTTGCTGGAGGCTGAGGGCTTGCTGACGACTGACGTAGCTCTTGCCTCAATGCTTCTTCTCTGGACTTGCCTTGAAGCTTAGATCTCAGAGATTGCACCAGCTTGCCTCTGAGCTCCTGCGTACTTTCCTCTCATCACAGTCTTTGGCTCTTTCTTTGAGCCTTTTCTTGTTCTCAGCAAAGCTGGACTTCCTTGCTGAAAGGCTGAGCAAGTTTTGCAGTGGCACCTCCAGCTCCTCAGCTATGGCAGCCTCAATGGCGCGGTCATCATCGACCTCATTAGGCAGTTCATCAAAGCCTTGCAAGCTGTGCAGTCTGAGGCAAGAGTTCCAGCAAAAAGGCTCAGTGGCAAATGTCAGAAAAGAACTCCGAAAACCAGTGGGTGCTGAATGTCTATGGCTGAGTGTGAGAGATTGGTCGCCCAGCGCAATTGCTGCCAATGTGGCTGCGCTTGTCAGATAGGACTACTACAGCCCCACTCACCGAGGAGTGGCAAAGTCGCTGTCAGTAATGGCTGTGCGCACAGATATGCTGAGCAAGGGCCATGTTCTGGGTAGCACTGTTTGAGCCCCTGTGGTACCTGCGCAGCACATCAGCAGAGAAATTAGTCTTGCGCAGTGACTGATCTGCTGCTTTTTCTGAGTATGCTTGTTGACAGGCGCCTCAGTGCTCCGTCCAACACTGCTCTGAAAAAATCTGAGGAAGAAGAACAGGAGGATAGCCATGCTACATGGCTTTTGAGTCAGAAAGCTCATGAGACCTGATTATCTCAGAAGAGTCAGGCCTTCCTCAAAGCACGGCTCAAAGCACTCCTTGACTCAGCCCCTATTCCTGCAAAGTGGCTGCCCCAAAAAAACTGAGAGCAAAGAAGCTCAGAATGAGCATGAGCTTGGGCTGCTTGACCTGAGCCATGCTGAGAGCCTCAGATTCTGAAGGTGGCCTCAATCGACACCCTCAATGCCTTCCATGCCTTTCCTCAGTGCAGCTTAGAAGCAAAGCTCAAGGAGCGTGATGTGAGAAGCCAAAATTGCAGTGCTCAACTCAAGAGGGCCTGAGCCTTGCACATAACTGAGGAGCTAGGCCCCTGAGAGCAAGTAATTACTGGCAGTACTCAACTAAGTATTGGCAACACAAAAAGGAAGTGCTGGCAATATTAAACTAAGTGGCAGTCCAAAAGGAAAAATGGAAGTGCTGGCAATGCTGCCCTGGGACACTTCTTGGGCAGGCCATTCCGGTGGTACACAGCTCTGGGTATTTTTTCCAAGCGACACCCGAGGTTGGTGTGGAGTTTTGGGGACCCAGTTCAGGGTTTCTGAAAGTGGCACCAAGCATTTCACAGGACCACTTTTTGATAAAACCCCATGTCGGTTGGTTTTAAAGGACACCAAGAAAGACACACACAAAAACAAAAAGGGAAACTGGTCCCAGCCTTGGAGACAGACCTGCCGGGTGACGTGGCACAAGCCCATCGCTTCGCTCGAATCGAGGACTCGCTAAGATGCTCCTCGGTGTCGCTGAATTGGCGCATGGGGACGCAGCAGCCAGAGGCGTTTGCCAGGCAGATGCGGCTGCAAGGCGGCGGCGATTTTTGCGTATTTTTCTCAGGGAATCGGACCCCCGAAAATGGATTTCGGTGCTCCCTCCGCTTTAGAACCGCGAAAAAGGGGCGTCCCCTGTTGCGGGAGTTCAACATCACCTTGTTGGCCCAGTTTTCTTCTCGTGGGGTGACGGTTATTTTTTTCTAAAAGTATTTTGGTGTGTCGCTTTCTGAGTCGGTAGGTGCTTTGGCTGTTTCAAAGGGGCAAACCACCGAACACCATCCATTGCGATTTTGTTTGGAGGGCGGGGCAGGCAGCAGGTAGAAACGCAGCCATGCGTTGGGCTGTTAGTAGTCATTGTGCTGGCTAGCGCCTGTTCACAAACGGGTGTCCACAGTTGGGGAGTCGTTCTTCACAAACGGCCAACGACCCGCTTTGCGCTTTGAGCATCAGCCAAGTCACAGCCCCCAAAGGTTGGGGCGGCCGGCTGGTCCTCCAATCAGCCAAAGTGGGTTCACCACAAGCAAAGGCAACAGTCCCAAAGATGAGGGAGAAAGCGATCGCCAATTTTACCCAGCTTGCTGGGATCTCATCACTCAAAGCCAATCTTTTGTGCTTTTGCTTTTTCCTTTTTGTTCATCTTGACTTGTGGCCTCAAACGGGCAGCTGTTTATTTCCGGGTCTTTTGGGCAACTGAGAGCATGAACAAAGTTGTTCCCTTCGACGCAATTTGAAAACAACTTCACGGGTAGGAAGTTGCTGCTTTTCCCGTTGCTTTCCCAAGGAAGGTTGTGCCAGGGCCTTGGACTGTTTGAAGCATTGGAAAGAAACCTAGATGTTGGGTCTGTGGGTGTGCGAGGCGCGGTACCCTTTCCGGGTTGGATGGACGGGAAACCAAAAGAAGAGCCACCATCTTAGGGGGCTCCAGTTCGTTCTTCCTTTTGCTAACTTAGAGCATTGCTTGCTGATTTTGTTTGCTTAAAAGGGAATTGGGTTGGATGTTTGCCTTTTTAGCTTCCTTTCCCGGACATGTCTGGGTTGCTTTTTGGTTCCCAACATACTGTAATTCACGAAATCCTGCACCATTTAGTGCGTAGCTGGTTTATCCAAGAACTTATCACATGTGGGCATCCATCCCGTCGGGTGCTTGGGGTAGGTTTCAAGGGTACGTTTGATTAAATGTATCACGGGGTCTGCCCCCCAGCCCCCATGAATGTACGGCAATACCCTTCAAATGTCGCCCCACACATTCTTGATGGTGGCGGTTCTTTAGTAGTCTGAATGTAAGGAACAAACCCTAAGAATGCACACTGTACCAAGAGAGCTACCCACCGGCACATGGCTTAGACTGCTCAAAAGGGACCCTTGCACAATCGCTGCCCAAAATTATGGATAGTGGTTTGTTCTTTAAGGGCAGTTTCAGGGTTTCTTGGTACCTTCAGCGGATAGATTTAAGAGGCCACGCCGGGGTATCAAGGGATCCTTAGGAAAGGAGAAAACCACCAAGAAACAAAGGGAAACTATAAGGACACCAAATTTGAAGCTATCTTTAGAGACCAAAAAGGAACCCACCAGACCAAACAACTGACCGTACGATAGATTGGTTTCGTGCAGGTGACGACGCCAAGGAGCCGCCCCTGGGCCTGCGACGTCTGCTGGCCACGGGCGCGCTGCGGCGTGTGGAGTTGGTGGAGATGAGGGGCGCAGGCGCCCGGTGAAGGGCGCTCGCCTGGGCTCGTTGGGCCGCAAAGGGGCGCAAGAGGGGGGAGTCGGATGCTTAAGAAGAAAAGGGGTCAAATTAGGAGTGATAAATGCATTGTGTTTTTTTTGGATGGCTCAAGGCGGTTTTAGAGTACCCCACAATTCCATTATATATTTTTGTAGGCCGCTATCTTGCCCCAACTGGCCATGAATTTGAATGGTTGGGACAGCCTCGCAAATGGTTCGCAGACACAAATCCCCACCTAGCTGATGTTCACCAGAGTCCCCAAACAAAATTCACACCCAGTTGTTGCCCTACACACCTATCGGGTTGGGAACTTGCACGACCTTGGAAGCAGTTGTTTATTTGCATTCCTTGTTCCTGAGGTTGTCCACCTTGTTTGCCCTTTGTCCCCTTGTTGTCCACGGTTTCGACCATTGCTTAAACAACCTTTTGGTGTCCCTGGAAAGGTGACCAGGTTCCTGCGGTTCATGACGCAGGCCAGTTTTTTTCCCTTTTGGTTTGGGTTCTGCACCTTCAAACATGAAGTCAATCCCGCATGTTTTCTTCCATGGCTCACCTCACCTCACCTCGCTGAGGGCTCTAATTGGTGGGGGAAACCCCATTTTGGTGGCAAACAAGTTCCGACTTTTGGTCAATCCATGCGACTGGCGATGGGTCCTTTGGCCTTTTCCGCCATTTTCCTCTGACCAGCCCCCGGGCCCACATTCCAAGCCGAAGAAACCTTGCCGGTTCTCAGGGAACGCGAAAAGGAATGAATGGTGGTTTCCTTTATTTGGGGACGACACCAACTGGGTTCATTCCATTTCGCATTCCCTCAGTTGTTCAGTGGCACCCTTTTCCCCTTTTTTGGTGGCTGCCCCACTAAAAATGGTCTTCCCAAAAAAGGGTTCCCTTTTTTTCCAGGGTCACTGAACAACTGAGTTTCCTGCCGATTTCGCGCACTCGCCAGAGACGGCTCCAGGTAGCTGGTTCCCTGACGTGCTGACTCAACTCCCCGCGCTGCGCCGGCTCTGTGTGGCAGCCACCAGGAGCGAAGACGCGCGAAAGCGGAACCCCAAAGCGCGAAAGGGCTTCGTTGGATAGATGTTGTAGTCTCAAAGTATCCCTACAATTTGGTGCAAGACAAAAGAAATGATCAATTATGGTTGTTGTTTGTTCCACTTGGTTTAGGGGAAGTTTCAGGAAAGCAGTTAGTTTTGCGGTTAGTCCTCAAGATGAGCTTGCCTACACGTTCAGTTTCGAAGTTTTCACACTGTCAAGTTTTGTTGGGTGATTTCGTCATCAACTCATCATGGGCAATTGAACTCTTAGAAACTCCGTCTCAGTGTTACAATTATCAACTTGGGTTCTAAAGATTGCCGAAGCCGAGATCGTCTTAGAGAAGATTTGAGTTCGATTCTGCAGTAACAGTACGATGTTGCTAGTTGATTGTGCTCTGGAAAGAGCGAAGTCCATTCGGAGAAGGGCTATCTTTTGTTTAACGATAAACTAGTGTCTTCTCATTAAACATCAGAGTCAGAGTGTCAAATGCTATGTTTTGACCCTTGTCAACATCAGTCCTTTTCTGGGGCTAAAGCTCCTCAAGACTGAGCAGCGACAAACTGCGAGCACTTGATCAATGTAAGAATGTCATGGATCTTCAAGGGACAGGGGAGCTATGAGGGCCATTACCAATTGACGATTTAGTAAGGCCTTGCTTATCCTCTTATCAGGGGAACCGACCCGTGACTGAGTGAGGGACGTTTGCTGTGATATGCTGGTTGGTACAGGGTGACTTGTTCGAAGCACCTGGCAAGCATACTGTGCTAAGCTTGACACTCTGCGTGATCCATGGCGTGAAAGTGGTGCCCAAAGGTCTACAACTAGTATACCTGGAAACTAGCCTTAAACTTGGGTTGTGTGTTATTGTCCCGAAGCTATGGGTGCTGTCCTTTCTTGAAAGGAGTTTGAGCATCCAGGTTCCTTGACCAATGATTAGTTTACTCATGATATTTCTGCGGGTCAGTGGTGCCAATGCGGATCGTTGAAAGCTACAATGTGCTTGCTGCGAAGGGATGGCATAGGTACATTCCTCAATGTGAAAAAGTTACAAACAAAGGATGACAGAATGTCAATTATGCAGCTGTTTCAGGTTCTAATGCAAGGTGTTGTTCATGTGAGGATGTAGACGGCTGGCCTTAGAATCTACGAAGGCTTCATGCTGTCCTGCGTGCAAGTTGCTAGCTTTTTGGCCCTACTTGTTTGGCCCCAATCTGCGAAGCGACAGGAAAGCCCCCTAGATTGACCCCTGAAAGAAATATTCGAGAAGTCGCAGCCTGGGAAAACGTTCCATGGATTCCGTTGAAATTTCCCCATGGTCCCATGCAGACCGAGCTCAGTGGGTGACGCGGTGGCAGGTAACCCGTCAGCTCGGTGGTTTGGATTGGTGGGGATTTGAAGCCCAGCTCCTTTGGAATCCAAAATGGGAAAGGTACCCCATGACGTCACCACCAAACCAAACCACCAATTACAAGCAAACAGAATTCATAGTCGCTGTTGGGCAGCAATGGCTCCCATTGCTATTGATCTGAATCAGTACATGGCATTTTGCAGAAACCGTCAAACTGAGCAGGTTGCAGCAACCTCACTTGACTCGGCGTTGGCGACACATTGCACCCATGCTGAAGCCTCATTTTCGTTTGGTGATTCCTTATTCCGGGAATATTCAAGCACGAGCCAAGAAGAGGTTGCCTAACAACAATACCCCTCCATGCACTTTGGGTACCATCCAACCTCTCCAGGTCAGTCCTCAAGGCTTGAAGCGACCCATGTGGGTATGGGTCCTTTTCTTGCGCAAGCTTCCCCGATTTGTTTGGCTTCAAAGGGAAGCGGAATGGAAACACGTGTCATTGTGTACTCAGACCTCCAGTGGTGCTCTTGTTCTCCTTTTTGGAGGGTCCCCTTAAAATCAACTCCCTCACAACAACAACACAAGCTCATGTGACGTCCCCAACAGCATGCGGTGCTCTTTGTAGTGCTCGCACCACCCCGCAGCCCTCGCAGAACCTCGTGGAACCCTGGTGGAACCCTCGTGGACTTGCCTCAGGGCCGCCCCGGACCCCGGAGCCTAATTATCTGGGCTGAGACCCCAAAGCTTTCAGCTGTTGGGGGAAAAGAAAGAAAGCGACAATAACTCCAAATAAACTTAGAAACCAAATATAATAATGCCTTTTTCGCGTGTTGAAATCCACCTTTTGGGCTTGCATGTCAAACAACTTCCGCAGGCCTCCGAACGTGGAGCTCGCCCTGGGCGGCTTAGCAGCATTGTCCGCTTTTCGCTTTTCGGATCGGCGCCGTCTTTTTGCGGCCCTTCCCCTCTGGAGGCGTCCCTTGCAAGGTCAGCAAGAAAATGGGCGTGTCTTTCAATTCTCAGGGGTCCTTTCCCGTGTTTCACAGGATGCGGGACCCCGAGGTGGGGTTTCCCCTTCCAAGCACACCCATCATTTCCTTTGGATTGAGCGCGGCAGTTTCGTCAGGATTCTAGTCGATACAATGTTTAGGTGAGATAGTATGGGGCAATCCCAGCCATGGTGGCCGTGGGTCAAAACCAATGGTGCCAATTCGGGGTAGGTGCACCACCCATTTCAGAACCTATTTTAGTGGGGCTAACCGAATTGGATTTTGACCCATGGCCATACTTAGGGTTGCCCCTGGCGCCCGATCCGGGTTTTTCCAGGCAGCATCCGGTCGGTGGCCTCCCGCATCACCGCGCTGGACTTCTGCGTCCAAGGCGACCGGTTGGACGGATCCGGCTCCGGGCGTTTCTCTGGGAAACAGCGCAGTTCTTCAGTGGCACCAATTATTTTTCCGGGGGGGGTGGCTGACCCACGAAAGATGGTCTTCCTCAAACAGGGTTCCCTTTTTTTTCCAGGGTCACTGAACAACTGAGACAGGTCCAACAGGTCTGGGCCTTTGAAGGGTGGATTCAACCAACCTGGTGATCCATTCGAATTGGGTCAGACGTTTTGGTGGCACTGAACTTTTGATCTGGTTCCCCATTAAGAGCCGCTCGGAACTCCAGAGTCTAGAGACCCCATGGCTTCCAGTGCCGTGTTGTGTCTTCTTCTTTGTTTTTCTGAAATTCAAGAAATGTCTCGTTAAAATCACCCCAAAAAGGGGGTCTCCTCCATAAACACACGCCGAAATCAACTCTAGGGGTTGCTTCTCCGGATTCCCCTGGGCCGGCCTGGACGACTTGGACTGAGCTCAGTTTGTGAAGTGTCCTGATGAACGGAATCCAACTGGTGCCGATCGGCGCGGATGGGTGAAGTTCGCCCTAAATCTCAACGAACAAAATATAGAACTGGTCGAAAATGAAGGGCTCCCATATCATAAGGGGGAAGGTGTACTTCCACGTTTGTTGAGTGTGAATAGTTGATGATGAAGAAGAAGATGAGGAGGAGGATGACGATGGCGGTGATAATGACGATGGCGATGCTGGCATGATGACTTAATTTGGTTCAAAGCACCACACAACCCCAGTCTGGTTGTTTAGGCCCTAGCAACTTGCCCAGTAATTAATGTTGGTTTCGCATTTGCCAGTTTAGCGCTCATGCCTCGTCCGCAGAATTTGGGCACAAGGGGTAAAGCGACAAACGCGAGCCCCGAGCTCATCCTGTGCATGGCGGATTGGCAGGATGGTGTCGTGTACAATACCTACATCAACTGCTCCGAAGATCAGATTCTCCGCAAGTGAACCCACCATTTCTGTCTTGTCCGACTGGTTTGCTGAAGCCCCCAACAAACCTCTGTGTTTCTTGTCCCGACCCCGCAGAGCTGTTGCAAAGCTGTTCCCATGAGCCCTTCGACAGGGGCTGCCTCAGGATTGCCCTTACCTGCTATTCCCTGGGCGGCAAGGAGGACAAATACAGGATGCGACCGGACGCGACTGTCCGCAACTTATCTGAGATGCTCCAACGACAGGTGGTGTCCATGCACCTCGGAAATGCACAGCTTCTGCGATTTCCCCTAGGAGAACAAGATAACTTGGGGCCTTTGTTCAGGTTCCATGTAAGCTTTTGTGAGGGAAGATAGCTTGCTTGGGGCCTTTGTTGAAACGGATCCATGTTTTAGTTGTTCTGCGGGAAACGGTTCATTTGAGTTCTTCGACGTTGTCCCCCTTTGGCCGGAATGCATGAAGCTTCTCTTTGAGGTCTGAGGTGTCAAAACATGTTGTTTGTTTCCTTCCATGTGCTGAAATGAAGATGTTTTATTTCCCCCTGTTGGTTTTAAAGGGAACCTATGACTGGAGGACATATTTGTAATTTTGTACAGGGGAACTAAAGCAAATGGAGGTTTCCAAGATGTTCAGCTTGCTGACTTGGAGTTGAGTGAAGGGGGAATGCTGATGGAGCCTGGGTTTGAGTCTTCCAGCTCCTTCCAATAGGAGCCTGAGTAATTAGAATGGGCTTGTGGGCTACGTTGAATCCAAGCTTAGTCATGATCATGATATTATTTAGTGCCTTATCCCAGTTGCCCAGCGGTGCCCTTCTTTCTTTTGTTTGGGGTAGGGGTTTCCCTTTAAAGTCAACCAACCAAAAAAAAACGGATGCCCTTTTTCGATTCTGCCCATGGAAATCCACTGGGCATCTGAGCACAGTCATTTGGTTCCTTCCAATGGGCGAGCCGGTTGACAAGCATTTCATGTGGGCCATCGTCTTAGATGGCGAGCCTTCTTTAAACACATAGTGCACAAGGGTATTTTTGGTGTGCCATCGACAGAAAACCCTGAAGGGTATACTTGGGAATCCCTGTGTGCACGAAATATGTTTGGTTAAGCCAGACTTGTTGTACTGAACAACATGGAACAACCCATTGGTCGGGTCTGGAGTTCCAGTGAAGCACAGATAGTTGCGTCGAGTGTTTGATTACACTAATATGCATGCAGTTATCTTCTGCGTTGTCAAAGTTCTTGAGTACTCTTCAGGTCATACTCATCGGATGAGCCCGGAGTTGGTCTTAAGACAATGAACGAAATGTTTGGACGGCCCGAGGCTCGGGGATGGCTCCGGAAGCCTTTGGTTTGCGTCAGGGTATAATATACCCTTAATATAATTTTTCGGGCCCTTCGAAGCAGCCCCCTGTGAATGCGACCTTCAATTTTCAGCCCTTGTGGGTTCAGTCGTCGGCCCCGTGGGACCCATTTTTTGGTCAGTCCGAGGAGTCGCGAGGGCGAAATGTCGATACTTCGGCCCATGGATCGGCTGCGGGACTTCGTCTCTGATGAGGATCGGAGAAATGAGATGGGTTTGTTCTGGCTAGTTTTCAGAGGTCAGCCTGAACTGAACTATGCCCTGTACAGTTTCCTGGATCATCCTGGATCCATTGGTTCGTTCCCAAAGCCATCGATTCACTCAGAGCCAACAAGTTGAGCCCGTTAGTATGGCATTTCCATCAGTTCACTGTCCGTGCCCGGGTTGAGTTCAAATTCAGTGCCCGGGAAAAGGCACAAAGAAAAAACAGAAGGATAGGCTGTAGGAATTTGTGTACCAGTCTGTTACCTTTTTCCCAAATCATGCCTTTTGGGGCTCCCCAAAAGGAACAATAATCATCTTCCCAAATCCTCCGGTCGTCCGCTTCGGTCAGTAGTGGGTAGGTTGCATGAAGGATGCGCTCAGAGCACCAGGACCAGAGGTGGTTGCGAACATTGGTAACCAGACCCTAGCTTTGTTCAGTCTCAGACTCCTAACAAACAAAAAAAGACAGGAAGTTCTAGGGATTGATTCCAACCATTCTTTTCAACCATCGTTCTTTTCAAAAACCGATCGCTGTTTCCCCTGGGGTTCAAGGATGGTTTCTGGAAAGATTCGGATCCCTGAGCTAAGAATGGAGTTGGAAGTGTCCCCTAGAGAGGTAGTTTTCGCAGCTGGTTGAATTCAAGGTTCAAGCAAGCGCTTCAAAGCGCCCAAACCTCAGCCTCAGGCTCTACAGGCGTTTTGTGGGCCAATGGTGTTTGTTCGGTGAGGTAGCCAACGTATTGGTTTAGCCGAAAGGAACCCGCAGCGGGGCATGGCGATGTGTGGGATGTTTGCTCCTTTTTTTTGAGGGGTGTTCAAAAAAGTGGAAGGCGGTGGGTGGTTTTGAAGGGAACGAGCAGGAGACCCACAATTTTAGGGCTCTAGTTTGAGAACACCCAGTGGAGTGTCTTTTTAGGTGACCCCCCAAAAAAGAGTGCTTTCCTTTGGTTCCCCCGTAAAACAACCAGAAAAGGGTACCCTAAAAAAAAGACCCACTCATTTTAGCACGCAGCAACTGCAAAACCGCCAGGACCGGGTGGTCTTTTGCACCTTCGGCTGGAACCAGATCTTAGTGCTGCAGACTTTGGAGGCGCTGGCGAAGGGAGCCTTCAGCAAGAGCGCCTTCAACCTGGACTGGAAGCTCGGCTTGGTTTCACCGTATGTGCTTAGGTCTCCCGAACCAAAACACACTCGAACAAGGGTATGTCTCTGTGTGTCTTGAGGGTACCATTTTTACTGTTGGTTCAAAGGGAAGCCAGCATTAAAACAACAGATTTGGGGATATTCCTATTTTGACACATACCAAAGTGTCTTGTTGATGCTTGGGGCTAGATGGGCGTGCCTTTTGGTGGCTCGGTACTTGGGTTGGACGACTCCCCCTTGTTTTGGCCATGGTTCAATCCACCAAACTGTGAAACAACCTTTTTGCAGTTAGGAAGTCATGTAGTCGCTCTCTCACCTAAATCTCCCGTCCAGATTAATAGATAGGACGGGAAGCCCAACATCCAGGATAAATAGATGGGATTTTGGCGTGTGATAGAAGGGAAAAAGACAATTAGGTGACGAGCGAAGAGAGGACTAAGCGTTCATTCCTTTCCCTTCGTTCACTCATTCACTCTACACTCTCTTCCTAACCTTTTCTATCTCCTGTCCTCACTCCACGGCGGATGGACAGGAGTGGGTTTGAGAGAGTGGGCATCTCTTCTCATCAACTCGCCATATCTTACCTGTTAAGTGGCGGGGAGAAAGAGATGGGTGTCATTCCTCATCCCTCCATCGCACACAAGGTAAAGATGGAGGGAATTAGATGAGGAATGGAATAGAGAAATGATGAAGGTACTGTAGAAGGAAGTGGTAGACAGGGAAGGGCCATTAATCTCTAGTACCAACCCTTCCAACACTTCCTTGGGTTCCTTCTAAAAAACATGAGTTGATTGTGCAACCAATTTTGACCAACCCCACTTTTTTGGGCTGTTCGTGGCGGTTTCAAAGGCAAGTTAAGTTATAGCGAACCACCAAATGTTTTTTTTTTTTCTGTAATAGCTTAGCACGACCCCATGTGTCGAAAATAGGGTTTCCTCTTGATTGCTCTTCGGTGCGACCGAAATACCATTTTCAAAGCTTTGTGAAAATGACGGTTTCTCCTCCACAAGATCGCTATGCCCAGAACAGTCACACCAAAGCAAAGCAAAAGATCGCCTCAGGTCAAGAAGCTTTACAAATGCATCCAACAGAACTTGTCTAGGACAGTTTGTGAGACAGGGGCCCGTATATTTTTCTTAAAGAGTGGTGTTTAAACATCACCTGTTCGCCATTCCATGGCCTTGTTGCCCCTGTGCGGCTGCGAAAAAAATGCACAATTCGCAGTTTGGCCCGTACAGTAGGGCTCATACCAGGGTACCAGGGCCAACACGTGTTCATTGAGCTTGCCTTCAAACCCAGGCCAGCTACCCTCAAAACAGCATCTCTCGTCCCAGGATCCGTGTCCCCAGCCCCAATGATTCAATGGTATCCACACCCCCAGACATTCAGTCCCAAAATGGGAACCCTATATGGAAACATGGATTAATCCGGATGAATCCTGTGGTCCCATGGTGGTTTACTTTTGACCCGCAGACATTTGCACGAGGAAATCCACGCTGGGCGTGGACTCCCGCAGCTTGGAGCAGCGGGTCGCGGAGCACATTGGCCAAGGAGCGCCGGTCCGCGTGCGGAGGTATTTCCTGCAGCTGATGCAGAAATACCTCGCAGACGCGGAAGGCGGGAGGGTGTCCGATTTCCGAGGTCGGTTCTCTTCAAAAAAGTCCAACTCCCCAAGACACGCTGTTGTCGTTTGGATCTTTATGATACACAGAATGTATATAACGTATAGAAACAAGACGGGTTGTTTGGGTCTTCTGCTCAAGCCATCGAAAGGGGGGCGGGGCGGGGCCCAGTTTACACCCAAGAGCAAAGCGGGTGGTTCCGTTTTTAAACCCTTGGAATTTTGGAGCCCTAATGATTCTCAATCCATCGAAACCTGGAGAGCTTGGAAGACTTTTCTTGAGCCAGTGGCGCGACGGGGGTCGCCTCCGTTGGATTCTGACGATTCTCTTGAGGCCTTGTGTCCACTTCAACTGGAAACAATGTACCCGGGCTTGCAGCCTCTCTGGCTCTGGGCGAAAAAGTTTCTGCAAGGCTCATAGTTCAGGGTCAAACCCATGTAGCCAGTCCCAGTTGCCCAGTGGTTCCCTTTTTTCCTTTTTTGTTGGGAAGGGTGTCCCTTGTTTTGTCCACCAGCCAAAAACGGATGCCGATCCTTTTTCCCCCATGGCCCAGTGTCTACTTCGGGCCTTGAGACCGCAAGGCCATCGAATCGTATTGATTGTAGTTCGTTGGATTCAAAAAGGGCGTTGCAACTCTTGCCCATGTTGGGCACATGGTCTTGGCGGTTTTTTGGACGCTGGTCTTGGCAGTGTGGCCGTGGAAGCCACTTTATTCAGCTGCTACCCCCTGCTTGTCAGGATGTGTAAGGGTGTGTGTGTGTGTGTTTGTACAACCATGGGATTACACCTGGGAGACTACGCTACACCATTAATTATGTGACCTAGAAATTACGCCAGGGAAACTACTGCCTTCCTTCCCTCTCCTGAGAGAGGCTTCATTTGAAGGCGACCAGAGGGTGGTTCAAAGGAATTGAGCCAAGGCGGTATACGGAGCGGACAACTGCGGTGAAGGCGATTGAACACCATCCGTGTGTCTTGCACCAAATTCACAAAGCGAAAACACAACTGGCTTCCACTCTTATAGCATCTGGACTCCAGGTTAGAATGATTTGTGACATATCCCACTAGAGACTTTTGGCAAAAAGCAGCAACAATAAATAACGCAAGCAACCAACCAACCAACCATCCAACCATCCATCCATCCAACCAACCAACCAACCAACCAACTAAGCGCCCAACTGGCGCCTTTGCCAAGCCACCGGCCAGTAAAACAATTAGCTTTTGCCCGGGGTCATTATTTCGACTGTTCTAGGGGTTGTCAAAGTGGCCAACCAAGCTACCGGCAAATAAAAGAAATTAGTGTTTGATGGCGGATTGGGCAAGCAAATCATTAGCTTTCAGCGGATGGGGCAGGAGTCCAGTCTTTTGCTGCCTTCTGGTAGGTGAATCGTCCGTCTGCCAGGCTGGAAGTTGCTTGACTTGAGTTTGGGCCAACACTGGCGACACTTTGTCCCCTTCACCGGCTTCAAGCACCACTGGACGCAGCATGCGGCGGAGCTCTGTGCGTTTTCGGCCACGACCCCAGTGCCGCAGACACGCGGCCAGAGAAGTCAAGATTGTGAGGAGTCCGGAGTATCCACATAGGTGTGGATACGTTTTTCCTTCTTACCAAAAGGCATCAATCAATTTAGGGGGCCATTTTGAGAAACTTAGCTATATCAGGTGTATGGACGTTCATGTGGGATTAGTGCCCTTCTTTTTGGGCGCTTCCAAGGCTTGCCTTGACTGTGCTGTTGAACAGGCGATCCTTAATCTTGCCTTGAGTTACCCTTTAGTAGGTTTTCCGCTAGAGAGTATGGATTAGGATTGGCCAACCCATCTTGAAGAGCCCAGCTTGAAATTCAACTAACAGAAAGGGTGCCGATGTTTTTTCTCACGCGGAAGTCTAGGGGTTTGGGTGAAACACACGGACAACACTGGAGCAGCACCTTTACCCCCTATGGGCTATTTTAGTAGATGGTTGCGCCACCTAGTTAATATGGATTGTAGCAATCCCTATATAAGCCTTTATAACCATCTTGGTAGAACCAACAGTGAATGCTCAATAAACCCGAGGAGGCCGCCGAGCATGTTCCTCTTTCGGAAGGATCCTTTTGGGCACGTCAAGGATGGCCTGCCGCTGTCGGCCGATAGGCGAGACTTGGGTTGAGGTAAACGAGGAACCAGAGATGTGTGGGTTTCCTTTGGTTTCCCTTTAGAGAAATTCCCAAACAGGTGTGTCTTGTTTCTTCGGCGGGGGGGGGACCGCTTTTGGTTGGTTTTTGCGGGGTAACAAATTTGAAAGCCATCAATTTGTGCGTTCCCCCCCAAAAAAAAAATGGACACACGCAAAACTTAAACGCGTGGTTTGCCTTTAGAGGGTCAGTGTAGGTGTTCCTTTACACCCAAAGGCAAATCCCATTCCTGTCAGACCCCCCATCCCATGGGTTGCCGATTTCGAAAGACATATCCTTGAGAGATCCGAAGTTGGTATGTCAACCGAGACGCTCACGAGCCTGAGAGGCAATTTCCGCGCCCCATCCAGCAGTGCGCTCTCTTACGCAAGGGCCTGGAATTCGGGAGCTTCGCGGCTGGGCGAAATGGGGTTGGTGAAAAAAAACAACTGGCCCCTTTTTATGATTTTGCAGGGAATCTGTCACTGGACATATGTGCTTTTTCCCAGGGGGCTTGAGCAAATGGAACTAATTGGGGCCGCCACACTGTTCTTGCATGTTGGGGTAGACTAAGCAATTATGACACCGAATCTGAACATGTGTTATTCTTTATGTACTCTGTATGTGGGCCAAATGTGTCACTCACTTCCCCGGCGTCTGGATTTCAGGCGCGTTCCGAAGATTATTTTACTCTCTTCCCGAGTCTCTGGACTTTATACTCTGGGAAAGCCATGATACAGTAGTGGTAAACAGAAAGTTTGGCCTTGTTTTGGCCAATCCACTCAAGAAGTGAGTCTAGTTCTCACAAACTATCTGCACTTCTGACCAGTCTCAGGAAGTCGGAACCTCTTTCGTCAGATCGGTTGGGAAGTGAGTTCCTACCTGTTTACACAGGCGGGCCCATTCTACGTCACCAGAAGTGCGTCTAGCCCCCCAGGCCAAGCAGGTCTTACACTGACAGACGAAAACAGCTGCCATAGCATTTTTCTGCCGGGCCCATTTTGTGGGGCTGTCCTTACACAGGATTCCCTAGTAAAACCGGCCCACAAGGTGATGGTTGAACCAGCCCAAAAGGGGAAGTACGGGGAGCTGATACATTTGTGTTATTGTTTTTTTTATCCCCGCGCGAGGTTCCGGTAGCACCGAACACGCTTCACAAGGATCAGTTCCGGGAGCTCATCCTCTCCATGGACGGAATCTTGTCTACGTGTAGCCTTGATTTTTTCCGAACATGGGTGTGTGTGCGCGTGTGTGCGATTCTGCTTTGCGATTGCCGAGGAATTCCTCCTCACCCCGAGGAGGAGGCGAGCGTCGATTCCTTGGAGCCTTCCTTCTTCGAGGCGGAGGAGCTGATGCGGCTGCTACTTGCGGTGGGTTTTGGCGCAAACCCCCCGAAACTTCCTGGTGCGAGAGATGCAGATGAGGGAATGAGGCCTATAAACCATGCAACTGGTGGTTTCCTTTGAAGGGGACCCCTGGGTTCATTCCCTGCTTCCCCACTGAGCACCAGCAAGGAAAAGGCCGCGGTGTTCCTTTTGGATTCCCTTTATGCCCACCGAAAAAACGGGCTCCCGTACGAAAATGCCGGGGTTCCTTTCGAAACTTGCGAGAGACGCAGGGAATGAGAAGTGGAATGACCCCAAGAAAAAAACGATCCAACTGGTGGTTTCCTGTACGGGGACTGGGTTCATTCCCTGATTTCCTACTGAGCACCAGCCAGGAAAAGGCCTCGGTTTTCCTCTTGGTTTTTTTGTGAAGCCAGCCTACAAAAGGGTCTGAAACACCCACCCTCTTAGACTTTGTGACCTGATGGATCTTTGCATAGGGGAACAAGCAGGGGTTTGTCCAAATCACTAGCCTATAACTGCTGGCTCAGCAAGCGGAGCACTTAGCAATGGCATTTTGTTTTTGGTATCCGAATTCCAAAAGTTGTAGGAGTTCCAATCTAGGGGTTGATTCCCCATTCTTTTCACCGATCATTCTTTTCACAAACCAGCAATTTCCCCAGGGTGTTTGGTGGTTTTCTAGAAAGAAGGATCCCTAGAAAGAATGGTTGAAAGTTACCCCTAGATCCAGGCAAATATTCGCCAAAACATGGACAACTCCCTACAGGAGTTCCGAGAGTCGCGCCGAGGCTGCATGTCCAGTTCCGCCTCTCTGCGAACATTCCGGCGCTGGTGGAGGGGCCTTTCGACGAGGAGCTGGCGAGGGGCCTGGCGGAGATGCTGCGGTTGCAGTTCCGGGGCGCCATGCCGGAGAGGTGGGGGGGGAGAGGGAAGGGGGGTAAGGGGGGGAGGGGAGGGGGGGGGGGGGGGTGAACAGGCGCATTTCATGTTGAACAACTGGTTTCCGTTTTTCTCAGGTCCCTTGGTGGCTGAGAATGTAAGGGGCAGGGGTCAGGGGTCCAGAGAGGGTCCCTTGGCAGTTGAGGATGTATTAAAGGGCCAGGAAGCAGTCGAAAGTCCTGACAACGTAACTTCTTACAATGGTTTTTCTGCTCGCTGTTCAAATGCAATCCGCAAGTTTCTTCCCTTGAGTTACGAATGGGTTTTTGTTTGTAGTAGTTGTCCAAGAGTGGATTGAATTGGCAGAGCCCCGATCGTGGTTTTCCTTCCTGTTGGTGTTCCTTGATCAAGCTTGGTCAACCCTGGAAGCCGCCAGAGCCCTCCGGAGTTATTTGGGTAGATGTTTTGGGGAGAAAACAGGGAACTCATTCCCTTTGGGGGAAATAAAAACAAGTTATTCTGGGATGTTCAACACTATCATGGCTTTACAAGCTTGGGCAACTGCGCTTAAACCTGATGCCCTCTACCCTTACAAAAGCAAATAAACAAACGGAAGTGGGTGACTCTTTTTTCAGTGGCCCAAAACCCCCCTGCTCAGGTGAGGCCTGGCCCAAAACCCCCCAAAATGGTTGGTCTCCTCTTGGTTCCCTTTAACACCAACCACAAAGGGGTACCGTCCAAACAAGACGCAGCAGTGGTTCCGCATCCCCGCGAGGCCATGCCGGGGGTCTTTGGTGCTTCTGCCATGGGCGGACTCGTGGGAGAAGCGCCGAAAGCCGCACGTAGCTGACCTTTCGAGCTGGGCGTGTCTTTGTTTTAGGGACCCCCCCCAAAAAAACACAAGAGCAACAAAACAAAGGAGACACACCATTGGCGGTTTTCCTTGGTTCCCCCCCCGAGAAAAAAGAGAGAGAGAGAGAGAGAGAGAGAGAGAAACACAATTGGCGGTTTCCCTTCGTTTTCCTTCAAAACCACCAACAAAGGGGTACCTTCAAAAAAGACGAGCCACCCGTGTGGGTTTCCTTTGCCAAGGCTGTTCCCGAAGATTCCTAACATTTGGGAAGCTGAGACATCTCCAGGTGCCGTTGTTTCAACCGAAATTAGTTCATCCTAGCCCCTTAGTTGTTCAGTGGCACCCTTTTCCCCCATTTTTGGTGGCTGCCCCACAAAAATGGTCTTCCCCAAACTTTTTTTTCCAGGGTCACTGAACAACTGAGCTTAGAGACCCACCGTGTTTGCCCTTTGAACCTTTTCGGGGACTTGTTTTGGCCCAGGTTGGAGGATGACAATCTTTGGGAGGACCTGGTAAGGCCTGTCAAGTTTATATTTTTGTGCTGAACTTGCAGCTGCAGCAGTGGCGCTGTAAAGATTGGCCGAGAAGGTCCTACCCGCGCCAATGTATAGAGTTGTACAGTTCGCTTGCGAGCGAATGCATGTGGCAGGTGTTGGATTACGCTGGAGGCAACCGGCTACCCACGCAAAGAGGGACCTCCGGAAATCTGCCCACAAGCAGTTTCCGCTCCTTAAGGAGACCATGTGCAAGCAGTGGAGTGATCAAAACTCCCAGCAGCATACGCTTATAGATATTATAGCAACGCAAAAGAGCAAGCCAAGTGCAAACGGTGGAGCCAGGGGCGCCGGGCTCGTTGCGAGTCGCTTTTGTCGAAGCTCCAAGAAGCCGCTGTCTCCTTTTTGCTCGTCGTTTCCTTGTGAGGCGTGTCCTGTCCCTTGTCAGGGTGGGTTGGTGGTTGATTCAGGGTTGGAGAAGGGTGGGTTGATGGTTGATTAGTTTAAAGTTCAGCATGTTGTTTCCTTTGCAAAAGCTATGATTTGCCAGGTAAAGCGCATATCGTGTCCGTGTGGAAGCATGGTTCCCGTGTCAATCATGATGTTTCCCTCGGAAAGCAACATGTCGGGATGTTGTTCCCTTGTCAAACCTGTTGCTGCCCTGGGAAAGCGTATGATGTCCTTGTTAAAACAAATGTTGCGTGCCTTGTAAAACACACCTTTTTCCCCTTGCCACTGCCAAGCATGCTATTTCCCTTGTGAAGCAAGTTGTTTCCCTTATCCAACACGCATTTCTCCTGTACATCATAGTATTCCCCTTTTGACACATGCTGTGCCCTAGTAAAGCATGATTTTACTTGCAATTATATGTTCCTTGTAAGCATGTTTTTTTCCTTGGCAAGCACGGTGTTTCCCTTACACACGTGTTTTCCCTTATCACATGCAGTTTTGACCTGTAAGAAACAATCCCAACGACTCCAGGTATGCAATATTTTCCAACTTTTTCCAACACTTGGGTGAAATGTTGGTAAATATTGCCTACACGTGGGAATGAAGTTTGCCTTATATTTTACCCTCCAAAGTCAACTGCTGGTAAATATTAGCATGCCTTGTGCACAAATGTTGCGGTCTTTTTCCCCGCAAAAAGCCCCAAATTCGCCGTTTTTTCCCGGTGCGCCTAACAAGCTCCACCCATTTCGACCTAAAACTCGCCTCGAGTTTTTTCGAGGCTCCGACGGCATCTCCATCTGGCCCCGCGCTCCGGCGCTGCATAGCGTCGCGGCGCGGATCCGAGTCGCCGATCGATCGGCGGGTGCCGCCGGGGTCTGCCCCAAGAATGGGTCGCGTGTTTTTGTTCAGGGTGGCCCTTCTTTTTGGGGGTGGAAGGGAAACCAAGAGGATGCGTTTGTGGTTCATTGTGGTTCTGAAGGAAAACCAAGAGGAGAACCGAAGTCATTTTGGGAGGGTCCACTGAAAAGACTCATTCAACAATATTGGAACAGAGTCCGAAAACTGCTGATACACTAGTTGTTGAGTTATCTTCGCGTTTGCAAAAGCTGGGTGCTACCACTTTCGGGGTCGTCCTCAAACAGATTCGATACAGGGTAGACTGAATATGGACAATGAGCTAAACAAACATGCTTTCTGTGTACCCCAGATGACTTACACAAGTTGTCGGGTCTTTCTTAGGGTTTGCACAAGTTGGGATGTGTTTACAGGAGTTGGCGAAGATCAGGAGGGTTCTTGTACCGCTTCTGCGGTCTCCCAAAATATATTTATATGAACAGAATCTGAACATATGTTGTTCTGCGTACCCCGGATATGGGCCGAGACAAGTTTCTGATTTTGGCGGGGTTTACAAAAGTTGGACTATGTTGAAAAGTCGGCGAAGATTGCGGGTTGCGTGGAAAAGAATGACTGCTTCTGGAGGTTATTAGTTTCAACTGGGGTCGTTTCCCTCCACCATTGGGGGAAGGGGGTAACGAGGCCATTTTGTGTGATAGTGCCCCTTTGTAAACGAAAATACTTGGGGGGTCAGATGCTACCCTTTGTTGGCTGCACCTTTGTAACGCTGCAGCCCGATGCATTCCCGCTCTGTTTGCCGGTGCCCCTTGTTCCCTGTGGTTGCCAGTAATTGTGATGACCCCTAAGAAAGGTGTCCTCTTTCTACCGGGGTCACTGGGCAACTGGGTGCAGCTGTTTATAGTGGGCTTGTGTTTTTAAGCACAGGGGGATGCTCGTTTTGATTGTGTCTCACTTGGACCTATGCCAAGTGGATCCGGGCAAGGAGAGCAGGTTGGCTCATTTTCAACCAAGTAGGCTGAATAGAGATACTGATTGCTGGTGCGTCAGGGCCAAGGTCCCTGAGACCAGGGCTACCTAGTGAGCTGATCGAAATCTTGGGGGATTGTTGCAGACATACAGATTGTAAGGACACTTGAGGGACCTGAACAGGGGAAGTTAGGTAAGTGAAGGTTAGGGACTGTCCGCCCTTTCGCAGTGTTTGAACATTTTGATGCCAGGATTTGATTGGGACGCACGTGAGTTTCGGTCAACATGTTGATTTGTCTATTTGCGAGATTTGGACATGGCAGCGAGCTCTAAATTCCTCACAACAAGTCCATCACACTTTTCAGGCCCAAGGTGTGCGAGCGACCAGTTTGATTGTCATGTTTGGTCTGCATTTCTTGATAGACCACTATGAGTCTGGCAGGGCAAATCGTTAATCCCTATTTGGGTTTAGGGTTTTTCTGTTTTGTTTTTCTTTCTCAGATTTCTTCAGGTTTTCCGTAGATGGTTGCCGTCGCTGACCAGGCTGAAGGTTGGGGGGTTTAGGGTTTGGGCTTATCCACAGATGGCTGCCGGACCAAGCACAGGCCAAGCACAAGCAACCCGGAAGAAGGCCTGCAAAGAATTGGCTGTGGCTCAAAAAACCGATACCAAAATGGGTTGCCCTGGTAAGTGGAAACATAGACCAAAACCTGCGGTTTGCCCCTCCTGTTTAATTTTAAGCCACACCCAATTGATCCATCCTTCTCTCCGGATAGGTTCGCCAGCTGCCGCTGTCCCTCTGGGACCTGCGGACCTTGTTTGCGGCGGAGCAGCTCGAGAGTTTGGAGCTCCAGGCGGGCGCAGCGGCGGGAAATGAGACTGCTTTTTTGGAGGGGAGGTCGAGTGATCGAAGTGGATGTGTCTCAAAATGGGTATGGGTCAAAATCAAACCACCAGGCGACCGCAGGTTTTAGTCCATGTTTCCATTTACCAGGGGTTACCCTATTGTTGACCTACAGCCAAATAGGGAAACCCTTTTTGGACGGCTGTACCGAAAGAACAGTGGCACAGCCTCAAGGTCTCTGTCTGACCCCGGCTCCGCAGGTATGGATAGGCTTGCACTGGGCTCCCTCGGAGGGTCTTTCGGAGGGTGTTTCGGAGGGTCTTTCGGCACGTGGCCCTGGAAGTTGCCACTCAAGCGCGAAAATTGGGTACACAACCGTCTAGAGACGCTACATCCAGGATGTGGAGCAAAACACGTAATCACGTTGATTGCAAGAGGCATCGCAGGAGATTTTTGTTCGACTTACCAGGCATGCCCGCTGACGGCCAACCAGATGGGTATCGTGGGGGGCTTGGTCAGCGCATGGCTTGGCTCGCCCCGTTCCTCCTCCCCCCCCTGGAATACATGAAGCCAGAAGGAAACCCCGAACCAATCCAAAGGGAAAGCTGATTGGTAGGTTTGTCTTTGACTCCCCGAGACTTGCAGGGACAAGAGACCTGGGGGATACACTTCCTTCGGTCCCGGATTCTTTGGGGCCAACTCTCGGGGGTCAAAGAACAACTCTCCCCAAACCCCCTGGGCCCGTTGCGTGTGTGCAAGAGCATTCACAAAAATAGCAATACGTCTGTTGTTTGAAAATAGGGATAATTCCACTTCTGGCCACTTTCCTTGTGGTTCACCCTAAGCCATTCAAAGGTGAGCCAACGCCCCTTGCGTGCAAAAGCTTTTAAGCTTCTTCGGCTCCAGGAAACAACCCTGGAATTCATTTCAAGCTTTTGGTCCAGCCAACAATTCCTTCTATTGGACGGACAATCATGTGCCACAAATCGCCAGGACAACTCAACAATGTGAAGAATATGTTTGGCGAAACAAACTCGACCGTGGCGCGCGGGTGGCCCCGTTTTTGGACCCCTTTGAAAGGCGGCTCACAAATTCTCAGACTGGTCCTGCAAGGGGCCTCGGTTTTTTGGTGCCCCCCTAATTTTGGGGTATGTGGAAAAATAGGGGGAGCTTGGGAGTCAGCAAATGTTGGCTTTCCTCTTGGTTTGCCACGGAAAAAACTAATGAAGGTGAACATGGAAGTGCACCTTCAAAGCACGCATATGAGTGGTGCACGCACCGGACCGCATGTCAGTAGTTCCGCTGGATGTCTTCGGGCTGATGTTTGACTCAATTGACCCGTTGCCAGGCGCCTTGAGATGCGTGGAAATGGCAGTGGCACAAAGCCTCCCTGAAAAACTAGAATCTCAGTTGTTCAGTGGCACCCTGTTTCCCCCTTTTTTTTGGTGTCTGCCCCACTAAAAATTGTCTTCCGCAAAAAGGGTTCCTTTTTTTTCCGGGGTCACTGAACAACTGAGGAATGGAAACTGCAAAGAAAGGGCCTTAAATAGGAGATGCATTTGCAACAGTTGGGTCGGGGTTGATCATGTACCTCTTGCTATTTGACCAGCCCTGATTCTACATTTGAGGACTAGTGATGGACAATGTGTGTGCTTTACTTGCACGTAGACTGCGAAGCCTCACATGTGGCCATTTGCACAATGCCCAATGTGCAAATGCATCCGTGTGGGGTACTTGAACCTTCTTGGCAAACAGAGTAGTGATCAAGTTGTGATCGATCATTCTCGTTCGGGGTGAGCAATGACGTATTCAAGCTTCCGGGTGTAGAACATGGGCAATCTGTGTTCACCCTGCTGCTACATGTAACCTGACGGAGGGGGGTCTTGGTGTGGACCATTGGTCTGGTAGGTTTCATGTTAGTCGTCACCTGGCCTAC